AGTGATGTTGAACATTTTTTCATATGCTTGTTGGCCACCTGCATTTCCTCTTTGGAGAAATGTCTTTTTAGTTCTACTGCCCATTTTTTGATGGGGATGTTTACTTTAAAAAAAATAAAATATTTTTAAAGAATTTTGGTGCAGTAGGTTATTTGTAGATAGGAGCTTAAATAAACTGAATTTATAAACTTGATAATCTGATTATAAAATGATACAGTGAGATATTACCTTTTTAAAAACACACATTCGTAGTTCATAAAGCCAAGTAGATTTTGACTCTTCCCTGTAAGTTTGCTGTATGCCTGTATTTGAGGGAAGCTGTTAATCCTTAAAGCTTTCTGATCTACATCCCGTATGTTCCTCTAAGTCCCAAAATATTCTTATTTCTTCTTAACATACCCAGCCTATTATCAGTAGACTTCAAGTGCCTTAGAGCTATTTAACTATCATACTCATTCCCAAAATATGTTTGAGAAAGTTTTAGAATGTCTCAGGCCAAAAGATGATTCCAGAAAGGGACTTTCAGAGACATTTTTGAGCTGTGTCAGTTTTATGGGGATAAAACAACAAAATCAATAAATTATGGTATGTTTGCTTGGGGGTCAGAAACTTCCCTAGTACTGCAGTAGCTTATTTTTTCATTTTCCTGCATATATTTTATGCATGTGTTTTAAAAAAGAGGAACTTGAACTATTTTTGTCTAGAAATGCCTAGGTACATTTTAACTATCCCTGTTATATATATTTCCATGAGTGCCACAGAAATGATAAATATTTAATTCATACTCTGTTTTGTGCTGAGCCCTTATCTATAGAGCAATTTAAATGCTCTTAAATAAACATTGTCCTATAATGACAGGAGCAATTGTTAGATATAGTGAGAGATTTTATTTTCATTTTGCATCTGGTCAAATGGACTCTCTATCTGTACATTGTGTTGGCATGGGGAACAGCTACACTCTGCTCCTGCAGCTCAATGCCAAGGGATGATGGAGAGGTCACTGCCTGCAGGCTGCTTGTCATGCCAAGTGAAAGAGAAGCAGAGAAAACCCTGGCAACAAGAGAAAGAGTAAAGGTGCATTGTGGGAGCCAGTGAGAGAGTGAGAGCCTGGGCTTTGGCTGACCACAGTATAGACCCCGAGCAGGACCATCTCCTAGGGTTTCTCTCTCCTGGTCCAAGTTTCTCTCTGGGGTAAAGAACGTTGTGCTGGTGTACTGCCTGACTGGGAGACAGCAATTAAGTCTTTTAGGATTCCTTCCTGCATTATGAGAACTTTATTACAGCACCTTGCTGCTAAGATTGCATGTGCTGTTCCAGCCGAGAGTACTTACCTGAGCACTGCCACTACTTTGCCTCTCGCCTACACAAGGACTTTCCCTGCGGCTGGAGAGTTTTCTCTGGCCAGTACTGAAGGCCAAGTGTGGGGTATAACACTGAGCCTCATTTGCAGCTGGAAGCCCTTTAAGAAATTATCTGACTCATTTGGGTCAAATAATAGTTTCCAAGGAGATTTTGAAGAGAGGAAGTGTGATATTAACCTAACCTAGATACCAAATATTTTTTTTCTTCTGAGATTTCTTGACAATTGTTGCATAACCTCTTTAAGTGGCATTTAAAACTTTATACCCCAGAAGGCATTGTTGATACTATTGAGTATAAATCCAAATGACTTGTATTTAAAATAGCTATTCCTAGAGAACCTACTTCTGTCAAAAAATTGGAAGTAGATATGCATTTTTGTATTGGTATGTAACTGTATAGGAAGGGATGTGCTGTTTGCCTAAACCTATGATTATTTCTCCTACTTTGGGGATTAGGCAAGCTTTTCTGCAATTGATGTAAGACTTCAAGAATGTCCCAGTTTGTTTATGTAGGCTTCGATATGTCAGCATTCCTGCATCTTTATCTGCTTGGGACCAAGTTGGTTTGAAGGAGACAGGAAGAGAGATCTGGTAAGGTTTCCTGTTATGTTTAAAAGCATGATTAACTCAGGATTTCAGAGCTTCCTTGTTTTTCTATCTGTATTCCTCAGTGAAGAAGGGATCTGGAGACGAAGGGAAACCAAGTTTTGTGGTAGAACTAGAAACAGAATCATTCAACTGCCCCACACTTGGGAGATAGGAGGTAGAATATCGATGGCATATCATTAACTAAAATGACAATTGGTCCCGAAAAACATGACTAGTGGAATGAAGTCCACTGAGCAGGAATCCTCAAACTCAACAACTCTTTATCAGTTGTAAGATGGTAGTGAAGGAAATGGTTTAGTTCTTAAATTTTGTTTTTATTGCATTTTCTGAAGGAGGTTGATGAGAAACAAGAAAAATTAAGAGATGGCAAAATAGATTAATATGTGATAGGTGCTAGTCACGTATTTAATGGAGAAGCAGTCACTGAACAGAGGCATTGGTCGTTTTGCAAGAATGATCAGTGGGTAATGGGTGGGTTGACTGAAAACATCGTATACAAGGTTTTATCCATCACACTCACCTCTGTCATTTTATAGTATTTTTTTAATGGCTGGAGGTATATTCCAAAAAAAGAGTGGTCGGTAAAAAGAAATACCTCATGTCTGAATGAAAATTACATGAAAAATGTAAGGACTAGAATTTATTTGATTTCTACCACCAGTTCACTCCTCCCATGATATGCACTGCCTGCCCGCCCCATCCTCGAACTATGTTTGAATTGACTAATCAAAGCATAACTGGGTATCTTTTCTGTGACAAAGGGAACTACCAAAATAGGCAAAATTGAGATTTAGCTTCCTTATCTTTATGAGTGTAAATGTAGGTAACATAGGTAGAAAGGAGTGGAGAAAAGGGCAGAGACTTTGTTTCAAGAATTGTGAAGGAATACAAACCACTTGACTGACTTGTTATGCGTCAGGGGGAAACTATTATTTTAGCAGCATAATTAGATCTCCAACATAAGGAGTGATTTTGGGAACTCATACTTGTGCATATGTTTTTCACTTGTTTTTAATGATACAGAAGGTAAAAATTGGTGGGACTTGTACTTGGTAGTGTGAGGGGGGAGGGTAGAAGAAGAGGTCTCTGGGTGGAGCCCCAGGTTTCTGACTTGGGCAGTGGTATAGATTCACTGTGCTAAGGAGTACAGGAGAAGTGGGGGTTTAGGAACCAGAAGGAGAATTTCATTTTGGACATGTCTTAGAAGAATAAATAGAAATATCTGGTAAGTAGTTGGATGTTTGGGTTTGAAGCTTGGGTGAAAGATCTGCGCTGTAAGTAGAGATTTATGAATAATCAGCCGGTAGGGAGTAAGTGAAACATGGAAATAAATCTTATTTTCCAGAAAGACCACATAGATGGAAAAGGAGGAGATTGAAAGAAGACTCTTGAATTCCTTAATGGGCAGGCAGAGGGAAGCCCAGCATATAAGAAAAAACAAGGGGTTTCTTGGACACATTAAATCCAGGGCAGAAAGCATTCCTAAGTGGAAAAGAAGAGATACGCCATCATAAGCTTTGAAGGATCAGAATCAAAACCAGAGACATAAAGGGAAATTAATAGAAAGCAAAGCCATATGTGGACTTTTAGGGAAAGGGAAATTAATAGAAAGCAAAGCCATATGTGGACTTTTAGGGAGGAAGTGCTGAGAAGCTAAAACCAGGAAGTCAGGAAGGAACCACTGCTTGAGAACTGTTCTTCCTCTCGTTGGGGCTAAGAGAGTCTGCGGAAGGCCCTAAGGCCTGGTCTACTCCTCAGTGTCGGCTGGCAGGTGAGACTGGGTTTGCTTCCCTGCTGGACGAGAGCCCAGTAGAACTGTTATTGAGGAACCAGGCAAGAGTAAAGCCCTTCTTCCCCTTGTCTTTTTTCAGTCAGTCTTGCATTTCTCTTATTTGTTTTTTCTTTTCCTTCTTTTTATGTCCCAGGACTTTAACTGTATTAGTTTACTTACTTGCCACAGCCGCTCTCTAATTTTGTCCTTGATTTACAAATGAGGAAACTGAGATGCAGAGAGTTTTAGTCACTTGCCCAAAGTCAACACAGCTATTAAATTCTGTCACTAGATTTTATAGCTACTTCCACTTCTAACCACCATCTTATGAAACTATCCTGTAATAATAATAATAATAATAATGATGGTTATAGCTATTACTATGTAATATCTGCCAATATTTAAAAATTGGAGAGCAGAAGAATCTTATTACTTGTACAATGTTCTTATTGGAGTTTTGCCATAATTTATGACTTTATTATTACTACAGCACTTTCTACTTTTTCTGGAAACTTTTAGAGATTTTTTGTATGCTTGAATTGAACCAATGGATTATGATAAACCACCAGGGAAAAATATCATCAAACTGGTTTTTTTCTGATTGCTTCAGTCTTAAAAACAAACTTATTTTTCCTTGTTTTTATTTTTTTTTAATTTTTTTTCTCGAAGAATATCTTCTCTCAACTTCATTGTATAAAAGATTTGTAGTTCCCTTCAAGGATTTCAGTTTAATTTATGGGTCTGGGACATGAGTGTTAAAAGGTTTTATTTTTCTTAAAGCTAACATCGCTCCTCAGTAAGGTAGGAAATTTAGGGAGAATTAATGCTTTTTGTTCCGATAGATCATTCTCACTGCCACTGACACTAATTTCTGAATACGTCCTTGGAGACCTGAGTCTGTGGCTTTTCCACAGTGACCTAATGTACTACTACTTAATCCGTGGAGGACATGAGTTTCTTTTTTTGAGTGTGTATTCCCAGTATGCTATTAATGATTGTATTTATGGTTGGTTAATGGAATCATACATAATTACTCAAAACAGATCTGATGAGAAGAGAGAGTTGCAGAGTTTACCTTTAAGTAATAAAATGTTGGCTCTGAGGAATTTTGAAGATAATAGTCCAGGCACCTCAGGTTACAGAGCTATGCACAGGGTTCTGAGAGAGAACAGCACCCTGATCTCTGCAGGAATGGAGAAGGGATGAGCTCCTAAAAGGAGGTACTGCTGGGTCCTGAAATCACAAAGCAGCTTCATTTTGTCCACCACCGTTCTGCCAGTCGATGAGGCTGTCAAAGTCACAATACTATTGGAACAAATTTGAGTCTCAGGAGGAAAGAATGCCAGTTCAAAAACACTGAGAGTTCTACAGGTGCCATGGGGGATAGTGACAGCTCATTGCACACATCTGTACTTTCTGAAGGGTTAGCGGAGAGAGTTTGTAGGCAAAACATTGTTCCAGGAAGAAGGGCTTGAGGGGTGTTGTTCCTGGAGGTCGGTGGGGGCGTAGTGTGTGACCTGCTGTCAGGTTGAAAGTTACTGGTACAGAAAGGGTGAGGTAGGGAGTGGAGAGAAGATCCTGGAGCAGGTGATGGAAGGCCTGGGTGTTGGGTAAGGAACATGGGCTTTAGTTCTTAGCAGAGATGGAACCATTGAACTTCCCGGAGGATGGTGCCACACTGAACTGCAGAAGAAGTTTGATACTAGAAACTTTGTGATTTGAATATGTGCTTTTAAAAAACATTCTTCTATATTCTAGCTACAAGCCAATAGTGGAATATATTGATGCCCAATTTGAGGCCTACTTGCAAGAAGAATTAAAGATCAAACGTTCTCTCTTCAACTATCACGACACCAGGATCCACGCATGCCTCTACTTCATTGCCCCTACTGGACATTCCCTGAAATCTCTGGATCTGGTCACCATGAAAAAGCTGGATAGTAAGGTACCCACTGCCATTCTGGTTACTCCCACTTTCCTTTTAGCAACTTTGCCTGAAGGCCCAACTGATTATGCTTTTAGTATAATTTTGGATGTATTTTGTTTTAAACACTTTTTTTTTAGAGCAGTTAAGGCTCATAGAAAAATTAACAAGAAGCTCATAAAAAATTAACAAGTGGGGTTTAAGTTGTTGAACATACACTGATATGTCATCATCATGAATGTTTCTGCTATACATAAAAATTCATTCTTGGCATTGTACATTCTATGGACTTGAACAAATGTGTGATGTATATCCATCACTATCCTATCACACAGCATGTCTTCACGACCTGATCTTCATCTACTTGTTCGTTCCTCTTCCATGCCCTGACCCCATAATTTGTTTTTTCTGGTTAACAGACTGTAGGGTTTAGCAGCATGAAGAGAATATTTCTTGATTTAGGCCAAAACAAAATAAAAACAATAAAACTATGTAGCTTATTACAATGTATTTTTAATTCTTGAGTTAGCACCAGTGTATGTGCTAATGAGGCCTGGGTATTATATAGTAGAGATACCTACGTGGTCATAGGAAAGGTTAAATTTAGAAGATTGAAATATAATTTCAAAATTTATTTCCTTAAAGGTTTTTTTTCTAAGTCTCTTTAAAGGGTTTTAGACCATTTAAAATGTTTGGCCTTAATTTGAAGCTCATAATTTTTAAAAGTTAATTTTTATCAATGATAGAAGAGGTTAAATTCTTTTATCTTCTTATATATTAAAATTGAACTCCATCCATTTGTTCAAAAGAAGTAGTTTTCATTTCTATTTGACCCCACATTTTCATTTATAATCTTGCTCTTTCACAGTGTTTGAGGGAAGGGACTGGCAAGTTTAACATGCGGCATTCTACTTTACATTAATTTAATTTTTCCATTTTGAAAACACTTCCTTTTGACATATAGAAGCTGCCCACTGTAGCAAGAGCAACCACAAAACTCAGCTGTGGTATTTTGTCTTAGGTTTGACCATCCTTCCGAGCTCAACAAAGAGGCTTATTCTCTTTGCTGTTAGTTTCTGTCCACCCGACACTTTAAAAGACAGTTTTTCCTCCAGAGATATTTAACAGTGAGAAAACACGGAGAAGATCAGCCTGTCCCTATACCTTCATCTGACCTGGCCCCTGTGGCTGAGGTAGAGCCAGTAGGTTCCTTGGACTTCGGTGTACCCAGACCATTCGTTTCCAGAAAATACCCTAACAGCTGAGAGGATGACTGTGGCTAGAATACTTTGGGGGATAACTCAGAGCCCTTCTGCTCATTTGGTTTGCCACGGTGCTGAGACGCCTTGTTCTCTGCTCTGCCTTGGCCATGAGTCTTGGGCCAGGAGGCGTGAGACAGAGGTGGCTCCTGAACTGAGCAGAGGTTGTAGCCACACCAGCCTTAGTAGGTTTGTGCTTGGTAGAGTTGATTCAAAGGGGAAAGAAAATAAAGCAGCATGAACACACCTAATAAGACAATCACCATCAAACAGGTTAACCTGCCTTCAAAGAATTGATAATTGTAGAGTGGCTGGCTGAGAAAAAGATTCTCAATCTAGACTGCTTGGTTTGTTTGTCTACTCGGATCAAACTGGTGAGGAAGCTATAAACCTTGCCATTTTGTCTCAATTGAATTAAATGAATGCTAGCTGTGCACACAGAAGCCATTAAGGACAACTGGAAGTTTTTTGCCCCTTGGGCCCTGGCCTAATAAGCATGAATGCCTAGCATCAGTGTTGTTTTCTGCATCTGTAACTTGCTGGAGCAAGCCATAGACAAGGAGATGAGGAGTTACTCAAAGATTGTGTTGAAGAATCACGTTTTTCTATCAGCATGTCATCTCATGCTGATTTGTCAGGATTTTTTTTTTTGGCTCTTGGAATAAAAAGAAAAGCAAAGGAATGCAGCCATGACCTGGAAACTCCCCCCTGGAGACTCTTCTCTGAGGATTGCATTCTCACCAAGTCTGTTCCCTTTGTTTCTGAGCTGGGTGGAGAACAGGGTCCCAGGCTTTGGATAGCAGTAACATCTTTTGGAGACTCTGTACCTAAAGAGTTAAAGAATGTTTATCTTAAAAAATAGATTAAAAAAATAATTGTCCTGCTATCAGTACAGGGGATGTTGGGAGAAGAATGTCCTAAGTTGAGTCTTGGGCTGCACTCAGGGGTGTCGTTGGTTCTCCTGAGCTTTCTGCCATTGTTGTCCAGCTGAGTTCTCTCTGGTCTTTGTAACCGATGCTCTGAAAATGAGCTTGGCCTTTGGCACTGGGTCTCAGTCTGGCACGAAGGCGTAATAGGATAGAAGCTAATTTTCAAAAGAATTAGTTGGTGTGATTCTGAAAATTTTAGAAGTAGGTGACACCACTTTTGTTTTGGTTACTACTTGGTACTTTTTCCCTAATGGTTTTCAGGTCATCAGAAGAAAGGAAGGATGTTCTGCGTGAAGTTGAGTCCCTCCCCTTCTAGCAGAATACAGGCTTTGTTGTTACACTATTAGGAACTTGCAAAAATCAAGTTCCAAAGTAGCTGGGAGGGTTCTAAAAGGAGTGGCTGGGTAGTCAAAGAATAGGCGTCTTTGTTATTGATACTTGTCATAGAATAACATTTCCTTTTTTACTCTATAAAGAAGAATGAGGTAGCACAGAAGAGGAAATTACAAGTAGCTTTCAGTGCATTTTGAGAGGAAGTGTAAGTGTTCAGAAGATAGAACTGAAGGTTATCCTATATCAGTTCTGCATTTAGGGAGAAAGTCTGATTTTCAATTTCTTCTCTCTTTATTTTTGAGTTTTATAATTTGTTTGCTAGGTTTTACTCATTTGTCAAATCACCTTTCTTATGTTGGAATTGTATAAAAAAATGGATTTTGTTTTACAGGTGAACATCATTCCAATAATTGCAAAAGCTGACACCATCGCTAAGAATGAATTGCACAAATTCAAAAGTAAGATTATGAGTGAACTGGTCAGCAATGGAGTCCAGATATATCAGTTCCCCACAGATGAAGAAACAGTGGCAGAAATCAATGCAACAATGAGTGTAAGTCCTCAAGCAAAAGCAGACTGCCCTGGGATTTCCCCACAAGTGATTCCTAGTAGCAATGTTGCAGAGGGTCCAGAACATTGACTAATAAATCTGACTACTTCGCCCTCATCCAACTCTGCCACTGGTTTAAGTCATATCACTATCTCATGCCTCAGTTTCCCCATCTACCAAATGGGACCATTAGTCAAGATGATTGCAAATTTCCTTCCTCTTGGGGAAAGATCTTGGGGGCGGGGGGTGGGGGGGAGTAGACAGTGCTGGTCCAGCACCACTACATGGAAAGCAGCTGAAAGGAAAGCGGCCTCTGCCTGCTTCTGTCATTGTTGGCAGAAATGTGCCCACCTGCCTCACATGTGCTCCTGTAGTTGTTCTGTTACAGGGCACCCAGAGTGAACTGGGCCGCCTTTCGGTGGGGCCTCACCCACACGCTTAGAATTCAGTTATACTGCAGGCGCACACAAAAGGGGCAAAATGGGTTTATTTACAAAAAGGGGAAAGGAACAGGAAATAACCCAGGGAATACAAAGTAACTGGAATACAAAAAAAAAGAAACAAAGTAACTGGAATACAATACCAGCTGGCTGACTGAAAACGCCAAGTCATGCAATCCGGAGAGCTGTTTCCCGAGCAAGAGACTCAATGGTGCCCTATTTATCCCCCAATGTCCCAGAATTCCTGCTTAGCTCTGCCCTCACCCTGGTACTGCTGGGAGTTGTAGTTTTCAGTCACTGGAGTAGGGAGTGGAGTCCACAAGACTGCAGAGTTCCTTTAGGACATCCTTCCTCTTAACAGTTCCTGTCTGTCCTTAGATTTTTTTCCCCCCACTTCCCTTACCTGTTTTCCTTATACATTTCCTGAATCATGAGGTGAATTGGCCATTGAGGGTATAATTTCCACATCACAGGGAGGAATTGGTCAGGAGATAAACGATTCGACTCCACTTCTAAGTGTGCCTGTGATGTCATCTTCCTGTATAGCCTCCACCCTGCCGGCTGTCTCTTGGCCTCTGAGCCTGTGTGTCTTCTAGTCACAGCTCAGCTCCGAGCCACAGTTACACGTTATCTGTGTCCATTCAGGGATGCATAACTTCTGTGAAGTTAGCATTCTTTATACAGGTAGTAGCTATCTGTGATGGTTTTGGAATTCTTAAGTTTGTAGAATAGTTTAGTGAGATGTAATTAGAAGCTGCTGGGTGGCTTGGGTTTTCCTGAACACATGCTAGAAACTGATTCAGAAGTGTATTGGTAGCTCTGAAAGTCAGCCTAGGATTTTTAATTTGTGGTAGGATGAGGCATGTCCTACATTCCTTAGATAGATCCGATTGTGAAAAGTGTCTAGTCAAGTCATTATTAAATGAAATAAAGACACTCTTTGTTATTAATAGCTTTATTGAGACTGCTTGCTATACTGTGCAGTTCGTCCATGTAAAGTATACGGTGATTTTTTTCAACTTTTACAGAATTGTTAAGGCTGGGCCATAGCCAATTTTAGAACATTCTCATCACCATCATCACCCTTCTCCTCTCCACCCCCCAATGTTTCTTTCGGCCATGAATCTTCCATCCCAGCCATTGGCGGCCACTGAGCTTTCTTATTGCTATAGATTTGCAGGTTCTGGAAATCACATAGAAAGAAAATCATTCTGAGGCTCATTGAGAAAATTAAATGACTTGGTTAAAGCCATCCAGTTAGCTGCAGCGCAGAGATTTCAACACAACTCGCCTGGTCCCCAGTCCTGTGTTATTTACTATCGTCATCAAGGAGAGGCATGTTATCCACAAACTGCTTCTTTTTTCTTCAGTTCAGCATATGGATTTTTCTATGTTGGGCCGTTGCCATTTAGGGAGGAACTGCTTTCTTACAGAGTGCCCACATGACTAGGGCTTTGGCCACAAATGTTATATCTCCTCCTTCTGGGCTGTTACTTTATAACTTTGAAGTATAGGGATCACATGAATGCAGAGGTCGCCTCACTCCATCCTCCCCTGTGTGATCATACTCCAAGCGGTGTGGCCCTCTCTGCCTGCCATGCCCCTTGGCCGAGGCGGCAAAGGCTCAAGATGGAAACTGAGGAGCAGTTTCTCCCTGAGAAACAACATAAGGGGTTGTGTGAGGAAGTTGGTCACGGGTGGGCGAGTGGCTAGATTCACACAAAAAACAGAGGCAAAACTAGTCTGTACAAGAGCAGTGAGAGATTTTGTCTTGGTGCCATTACTGTGTAACCAACACCTGAGAGAAGTGTGAGTTTCAACAGGGGCTGGTGGACAGGAAGTTCTGTTTCAGCCCATTTAGAACAGACACTGTTGAGGCACTTCATGTACAGCTTTGAACTACGTAATACACAAGAGCTCTCTCACCTGCAAAATTTTCTGGTTATAGGTTTTGTGAGCATCCTACTCATAGTGGCACCTGACGTTTTTGACATATTTGGAGCCTTGGCAATGTGCTGGGCACTGTTTGGAGGCTTTGAATTTAATGCTCCTTACAGTCTCATGGAAGGTACTATACCTCCTCCCTCCTGTGTGAGTAAACCGCAGCACCTGGAACTGCACAGCAGTAGAGGGAGGACCAGTGCTGACACCTCACCCTTTATGCTAACTGCCGCCCAACCAAGAACGCTGTTCTCGCTTATAGCTTTGCCACAGTTTCAGACTCAGGTAGTACTGGTTTGTTCTGCTGTAGAAATCCAGTTTGGGGTTTCAGTGTGGGATCAAGAAGTAACATGGATGGATGACACCTCATTCATCCTTTTAGTCTTTCCTCATCCTTTTTATTATTTTGCATGAAACTAAATTTATATTAATTTTTTGGGGAAGAAAGTACCTGTGAACCTGTGCTCTCTTTATCAGATTAATAGAACTGAAAATCCTTGATATTCCCAGATTAATCCTGACCTATATGAAGAAAGTTTCTTTTGCATTCTTCATTGCAGCTAGTTGCTGGTGATGAAACTCTAGATTTTGGAAAACAGATTTGCTTTCATCACTCAGTTTAAATGGGAAAAATTATTTCCTTAGTTTTCACACCAAAATGTTGGTGTAAAGAGAAATTTAAATTTGTTAAAGAAATGTAACAAGTTATGGAAAGAGAATGTGCTTTCTTTCCTTCCAAGTGAGTGAGATAAACTAGAAAAATATAAATATCTTGGTCATCAGACAAAATAATACTACTTGGGTAATTTGTGCTGAGGGTTATGCAGTTCTCTGTGGGAAAGGATCTGTTTATTAGATCAAGGAGTCCTAAATAATTCTCGAATAGCCATTCCAGTCTGATTATATTCAAATAAAAAAAAATTGGAATGACTTTTTTTCCCCCGAGAATGTGGCACTAGTTACCAAATAAATCAGTGTGGAAGAGTTTCTTGTCTTGAACACCATCTCTGCTAGAGATAAATCTGAGTGTAGGCCTTGGGCCAGTGACTTGGGCTAACATGCATTTCTGATTTTAGTTTTGTGACATGATCAAGTGTTTAAAGCTATGTTGTTCAGTAGAACTAGATGTGAACCACCTAAGTAATTTAAAATTGGTTATCACAATTAACAGGTAAGAAGACACATTTAATTTCAAGAATTCATTTCACTTAACATGTCCAAAGTATTAAAACTTCAACATTTAGCTTATATAAAAATTTTTGAGATATTTTAAGATCATAGTCCATCCCAATGTTATTTCTAATATACACAAACATTTTCCCATATGAAATAAACACTGCAAAGATCATTTTCCCTTAATATTTCTATCCATTGGGAAACCCAAGGAGATTGCAACTGAGATGGAAAAATGCACAAAAATATGTAAAAATAAACTATTATAATTAAAAAAAATTTCCATCCATGTTGATAAATTACTTTTATTTTTTTTAGAAGATTGCAGTTTGATGCACGGTGAAATACAGTGCTACCAAAACAGTGATGTTATATTTAATGGGTTAATATTTTACACTGGTACCACTTCTTGAACTTAAGTGTAAATTAATTGGAAGGAAATAAGATTCAGCTTCTTCACCCCAGAAGATCCATTTCGTGCTCCACAGCCACGTGATCACTGGCCGCCAGGTTGGCAGCACTTGACACTTCATGTATTATAACAGCGGCTCGGACCGTTTCCCCGTGAAGGTAGCTCCCACCAAATACTCACCTTCGGGCCTGGAAGGAGCCATGTAGCCCAAGCCCTCCCCCACTGAACTGCAGAGACTCTGCCTCTCCTTTTCTCTCCCCTTTCTCCGGCCGCTAACTAAGCCCTGCAGGAGGAGTGCAGAGAAGGTGGAAAATGGCCTCAGCGCTGTGGAAGGTAACTCCCTCCCCCTTGTCTACTTGGCAGGTTCATCTGCCCTTCGCAGTGGTTGGCAGCACTGAAGAGGTGAAGATTGGCAACAAAATGGCAAAGGCCAGGCAGTACCCCTGGGGTGTGGTGCAGGGTATGTATGCTTTACAGGGGAGGGAGTCTTCACTTTAATCCTTGAAGTGACTATCCACATGTCTTCCACCTTGGGCAGGAGGAAGGGAGGGGCAGGGTTATAAACCTGGCAGTGGTGGAGAAACGGCGATCTGGCCTTCTCTGGTGGTGCAACCCGTTAAGGCGCAGCACTGAAAGCTGGCAGCAGTCACTTCATTGCAAGTTCGATTCCTGCTGCAGAGGTGACCCACATGGCGTGGCAGACCTCTCCTGACTGGCCCACTGCTCCCTCAGCAGTGTACTTCGTGGATCTGCCTGTTCTGCTCCCCATTCTGTCTCTGGGGAATCCTTTTGCTGCCCTCACACCTCTAGCCTGGACCCTAGTTCTGTATACATAAATAAATAAATCTTAAAAGAAAAAAAATAGATAAATGGTGATTAGAGAGGTGGGCCATGGAGAGAAATGGCTGGAAAGTCCTAATATTTCTGAGGCAACCCCTCAGAAGGTTGACTTTTTTGGAAGTTCTCTGTGAATCCCTGATAGAAGAGTTCATTCCTAGGAGTTTGTTTTTAAAATTTATTTACTTATGCATACAGAACTGGGGTACAGGCCAGAGGTGCAGGAGCAGTGAGAGGCTTCACCAGAGACAGAGTGGGGAGCAGAGCAGGCAGATCGACGAAGTACACTGCTGAGGGGAGCAGCAGGTGGGTCAGGAGAGGTCTGCTGCGCCATGTGGATCACCTCTGGGGCGGGGATCGAACTCACCCTGAAGAGGCTTTAGCTTCTTAGTGCTGTGCTTTAACCCACTGTGCCACCAGGGAGGGCCTGTTTGCAGAGGTTTTAGGAGCCCTGGTAGCAGCCTCTTGGAAGCATCCCTCAGGTTCAGTGCCCTCACTACTCCCTTGCTCCCCTCTTCTCCCAATCTCTTATAGTTGAGAATGAAAATCATTGTGACTTTGTGAAACTTCGGGAGATGCTGATCCGTGTGAACATGGAAGATCTGCGAGAACAGACTCACACCCGCCATTATGAATTGTATCGACGCTGTAAGCTCGAGGAGATGGGGTTCAAGGACACAGACCCTGACAGCAAACCCTTCAGGTATGAAGTCACCCCCAAGTCAGGTGTTCCCCAGACAGCGGCTAGGGCGGTATGCTGGTGCATCACTGAAGTGCTTGTTGGATTGAGACACAAAATAACGGGACCTGATGGAGAAGGGTCACAGGGTGTTTGCCAGGTGTTGCGGTTACCATGATATTTGCATTATTGTAACTTAATGAGTCACTGTTGTCAACATCATTTTATAGATGAGGAAACTTAAGTCACTGAAAGTGCAAACAACTGACCCAAAGGCCTGTAAGTAGTAAGTGATGGGGGTGAGTTGTTAACCCTGGCCCTTACTAGTTACTCATGGGGCCTTTACAAGGGTGAGGTCCCTCTTGACAGTGTGCTTCATTCATAATGGCCAGATGGTTCTTCTATTTTTCCTTTTCAGGTGAAGTAATAACAGCTATTACAAGATTATATAAAGTTTAGATGTGTATAAACAGACTTACTTTTGAAATACTCTAACTAGCCTTCAGGGTTTCAGCACATTTCTAACAACAACAGGGTAAGAAAGGGGATAACTTCTAGAAAATCCCTTATTACCCCATGCAGTACCTCTTGAGGGCACCGGGCTTGGTGAGGTGAATTGGAAACCCCAGCTAAAGGGAGTGTAATAAAGAAGTTAACTTCTTGCCAAGCTTGCATCTTTTAGTCCTGCCCTGGGGGCTTATAAATCTGACCCTCTTTAATGGTGTCACCTACTGGGTTTCTTTTTGTATGCACAGCCTTAGCTAATTGAACCTTGAAATGTGTTGACCGAGAAATAAACCATACAAAGCCAAGCCTACCTGGTTATTAAGCCTGTGGGAGGCGAGGCTTTATCTTTATTTTTTCTTTTTGCATAGAACTTAGCATAGAAACAAAAGAAACTTGCAATAAAATCAAACCCATTTGTCCCCCACCTTCCTCCATTCAGTGGATACAGCCTCAGGTCTTGGTTCTCTACTCAACCTGTCTGGGCTCCCGTTTCTTCATGATAAAGTGGAATTATTTCACATTAATCGTTACTTAATAATTATAATTATAATAATTCATTATTCTCCTCATTATACAACGAGGAAACTGTGACTAGTTCAGGGGACAGCAGCTCTAGTCAAAGGACTTTTGCTATAATGGGCCAGATAGTGAATATGTTAAGCTCTGAGGGCCATGTGGTCTTTGCCTTAAATACTCAGCTTGCCTCCTAGTGTGAAAGCAGCCTTGAGACCTTAAATGAGGGGGTGTGGCTGTGCCAATAAAACCTAACAAAAAGCAGGTGAGAGTCAAATTTAGCTCTTTGGGTGTAATTTGCCAGCCTCTGGACCAGATCAGCTTGCCTGCAAAAGCTACAATGCCTGTGACTGTTGACTTTTGATAAATGTAACTTTACTCCTCAAATGTTAAGAAACATTTGACACACCCATGTTCTTTTCAACTTGAAGAGTGTGGTGCAGCCCCTTTCACCATCCTTCACCATCCTGGCTGGTTCCCTGGCATTGGGAGGGTGAGGGAGATTTCTGCTGCTTAGGCACACAACCTGTCTCCTTCTCAGATGCTAATTGCATCTCCGGTAGCCTGGGGCAGTGGCCTGCCAGGAACACATGTTCATGGGTAGGTCCAGTGGCCCACAGCTCTGGCCTCCCTGAAGACAAGAGGCTTTGAAGCCAGTGGCAGATGGCATTGAGGCTGCCAGCCCTGGGAAGATGCTTTATTCCCATGTCTTCCGTTGTTTCTATTTCTACTAGCCTGAGTTTTTGTTCTTGATGATAAAAAGGGAAAATATATAACACATAAATGACCAAGGCCTTTATTCTTTTTCTTATATAAGCAGAGAATAGTAGACCCTTTAAAATAAGCACCTTTGTCATCTCAGTGGCCATGAACACTGGAATCAGATTTCCTCTCAGAAATCTGCCCCTTCAAACTCAGGTATCCACCTCTGGATGCCGGGCAAGATCATTTGGAGTGGAAAAGTTGGCTTTGACTTACATGCCTTAGCAAATTACAAGTTGAAATGAGTTTGGCTTCCTTTTCTTGGAAATCACTACTTTACAAAGGGCTCAGCCTTGTCCTTGAGGAGTGTCCGGTGTCCCCAGCACTTCCTGTGACCCTGTGCAGTAAGGTGACCCAGTCTGAGGGGTACACAGTTAAAGAAAAGCAAAGTTCCACAATATGAGTGATTTCTCAGAATTTCAGCTTCAAAGTAATCACTCTTGGACACACTTAGATTTTTTCCATTTAAGCTTAAAAGTATATAAATGAAGGGCTTGGTTTTTTGTATTCTCAAAGTAGAAGACCCCTGTGTAAGTACAGAGTGAAATCCAGCCTTCACTTTTCACCCCCAGGTCTACCATTTGCCCTCGGGGCCCCATTTGTGAAGGTTAGGGTGATGGTTTTACTCACTTTCCCTGACTTCTTCCCACAGTCATATTCCTGATGGTACCATATTCCTGCTTTAGACAGAGGACTGAGGCTCACAAGCTGCCGTAGCCAGAATCTCTTCCTCTTTTTGACCCAGGCCTGTGCATACCTCTCCCAGTACTAAGTCACCTCCGCCTTCTAAAATGCGACATCATATCTTTGGTGTCTACCTGGTATGCCAGTCCAGACATTAGTAGTCAGTCCAGGCTTTTCTGTGTGAAGATCACTAAGTCTTGGCAAATTAAGAGACATAATCACTAGCGCTCCACTGTGCTTATTGACTCATGCAGTTGCTGATGAGCATGTGTTCTGATTTGTGCATCACTGAAAGGGAGTTTTGTGTCCCGATTCTGGTAAGTGGCAGCCACATCTACTTTTAGGAAATGAATGGGTTGACATTATGTAAACTAAAGCTTCTTTTTATGCAACTTCATGACAATGTCTTTGGTTGGTACTTTCTGACTAGTCTTCAGGAGACATACGAAGCAAAAAGGAATGAATTTCTGGGAGAACTTCAGAAGAAGGAAGAAGAAATGAGACAAATGTTTGTAATGAGAGTGAAGGAGAAAGAAGCCGAACTTAAAGAGGCAGAGAAAGAGGTAAGCCACCCGTCTTCGAGGGAAAGAAATACAAGTAAGGTGTTCTATTCATACTTCATTCTTACAGGACTTCAAGCTGTCCTAAGTACTTACTGCAAACTTACATACAAGAAAAGTAGATCAGACATTCTTCTCTCCATTTTATGGATGATAAAACTGAGTCATGAAAGGGTAAACAGTGTACCTAGAAAGCAGAGACCAAAACTAAGTCTTAGAACTCCACACTTTAGTGCCATGTATTTGTAACTCTATGTGTTATCCTGTACATGTAATGAAATGTAAGATTTAGGATTCTGGGACTGTTGCTATTATTTTGGTCCATCAGCCAACTCAGTAACCTAAACAGTGGAGTGGCCTCGGACACCCTGAGAGAGACTTGTCTCCCTCCCCCAGTCTGTGGTCAGTTCATGTGACTTTATGCCTTACCATCCGTCCCATGGTAGGAGAGATGAGAGAGAAATGTTTGCCTCTGATGGAGGATAATAGGTATCTCAGGTGCTGGCCCTATAGTTCAGTATACTTCCTAATGATGTTATCTAAACAGTTTCCTCATCTTCCCCTTTTATTTCAGAAAGTTGGCTGAAACTTAGAACTAATTTAAAAAGCTAAATGTTCCACATTGTTTGCTGCAGAAAAATGAAAGTTGAGCCTTATTTGTTGTTGACTTAAAATACCCGGTGGATGCTGGGGTAAAATATGGGGTGATCTGAGAATTTTTTCCTCCCTCATTTCTTTCCTTCCTCCTTGTAATAATTAAAAAATATATATTTATGCATACAGAACTGGGATACAGGCCAGTAGCAGGTGCAGGGGCGGTGAGAGGATTCACCAGAGACAGAGTGGGGAGCAGAACCAGCCTACTGATGAAGTACACTGCTGAGGGGAGCAGTGGGCACTGCTGGAGGGGAGCATTGGGCTGGAGGGGAGCAGTGGGCAGGTCAGGTCTGCTGCACCATGTGGACCTCTGGGGCAGGTGGGGATCAAACTCATGCTGAAGTGGCTTTATCTTCTTAGTGCTGTGCTTTAACTCACTGCACCACCTGGGAGGGCCCATAATAATTTTCTTAATTTGACATTTTAAGAGCCAGACATTTCTCAACATATTATTATTACTTAAATAGCATATTGTTTAGGGGCCCCCCCAGTGGCTCAAGGGGATTAAAGCACAGCACTAGGAAGGTAGCCATAGCCACTGCAGTGCGAGCTGGATCCCCCGGCCAGGGAGGTGACCCACATGGCACAGCAGACCTCTCCTGACCCACAGTTCCCTCAGCAGTGTGTTTCAGTCCATCTGCCTATTCTGCTCCCCACTGCCTCTGGTGAATCCTCTCACCTCCACACCTCTAGTCTGTACCCCAGTTCTTGTATACATAAATAAATCTTTTAAATAAGTAAACTGTTTACTTATTTATTTATTGTTTATTGTTTAGAGAGTGAGAGATGTAGTAGCTGTAAAATGTCTGCGAGTAAATGAATGTTGTGCATTTGAAAAGGACCAGAAGTAAAGGACGACTCTTACTACTAGTAAAGGACAATTTTTAACCCAAAAATTTCTTGTTAAGATCATGGGTAATTGTAATACCATATTCTTTCTACTTTTCCCATTGAGTATGTATTCAGTGCCCAGGGGTCAACAATGTAGGCGTTCCAAATGGCCCCTCCAACATGCTCCAGACTGCGCTTCCCTCCTGTGATCCAAATTCAGGCAGCAATGTGACGCGTGTCTGCTTGTGGACACATCCAGATTACCTCACACCAGGAGGCTTCCCTTCCCTTCACAGCCTGCTCTCATTTGTCTCTACAGCTCCATGAGAAGTTTGACCTCCTAAAGCGGACACACCAAGAAGAGAAGAAGAAAGTGGAAGACAAGAAGAAGGAGCTGGAGGAGGAGGTGAACAATTTCCAGAAGAAGAAAGCAGCAGCACAGTTACTACAGTCCCAGGCCCAGCAGTCTGGGGCGCAGCAAACCAAGAAAGACAAGGATAAGAAAAAGTAAGCAGGTGTCACCCCCACGTCGGGGCCTCTAACAACTTATTCCTCTTGCATGTCTCTACTTGTCCCGTTTGCAGACTGGAAACTGTTGATTTACCACAACGATAAAAGCAAGTATTTTCTCTGCAGTGCAGGAAAGATGATAAAGGTTTATAAGTATTTCTAAAGGGTACACAAACATTAATTTATAAAACTTGACATACGATCAAGCACACAGGACTGGAGAAACCTGTCTTCTCCAGTAGCATCTTCTGCACCACCATTAGGACTGAAAGTGTATTTCTCATCATGATCCTTGGAGACAATCCTCATGACTCCTAAGAAAGAGCATCCTAAAGTTATAATTGTTAAAATTATTTTTCTACTCTGTGTTGTAAGGCGCAATAAGCTAGTCATTGAAAGTCTTGTTCTAAAATGAAAGATTTAGAAGAGCTACTACTAGTGGCCATTATTTTTCCTATAAATTCTGCTGATGATTGTAGTGTGAAAACAGGTTCAGGTGCCATCTGGCTAAGTTATCCTCCCCAGCCCTCAAGCCAAACTTATAACCATACATAAAACACTTTAAACTATGGCCTTGTTCTAATGTGCCAAAGGGTCACATTCCTCTCCCGAGTCCATCGTTTCCTTTGATTGTTCCAGTAGCAGTTGCCTGACCCCTTGAGATTCTCCCAGGATCTGAAGCCCTGTGTTGAATAACCCTCAAGTGCAGTTTTGTGACAGTCACTGCTGACTGCACAGGGGTCAATAGTGGTCATATGACTCCCTGTGAGGGAGTCATGCGTGGCCAACGGAGGGCCCACGGGAGTGGCCTCCTTGGTCTGTCTGACGCGCGTTTCTCTTACTGCAGCTATATGGCAGCTCAGAATGCATTGTCGGCTTCTTGCTCTTCATCCCCCAATGTCAAGGTTTCAGGGGAGAAGTGGGACATCAGTGCAACAACAAAAATGTTGTTGGGTGAGCTGGCAAAGAATTCCATTCTAAAAAAAATAGAATAGATAAGATGGATTCTGTGCCATAGTTAGGCCTGTCATGGGGCCGTGAATGCAGAGCTGGTGTGACAGGATCTGGGGTCGTGCGGACCACCTGAGGGCTCCTGCTGTGCTGAGTGTGCATTCCCCACCCCGGAGAGAGATTGAAACCAGACTTTACAAGCTTTGAGATTTTCAAGCTCTGAGACAGCAGAAAATGACACGTGAGGGAGTGTGAGAGCAGAAAAGTGTCCCTAGTATTAGGAAGGAGACAGTTAGGCAAGGTGTGATTTAAATGGAGCTAGTCTCGACCCCAGTGACCCAGGCCCCAGTTCAGCGATGCTGGAGTATTTTCGAGGGGAACAGTTTCCTAGACTATCAGCCAGACTAAGTAAAAGCTTTATAGCTTTAAAGAACATTGGTAGGTGCTGGTGACGTTTCCCTGGTGGAGGTGCAGAGACTGCAGTGACTTCAAGTGGCCATAAAATGAAAGCCGTTAGCATCATGCCCTTGTTCGTCCAGACAACCCCAAGACAAAAATAGGGGCGTGTTTCCAAGCTCATCACGAGTGAAACAGAAAAAGGTGCTGATTCATAGCTGAGGAAACCCAAAGTCAAGTTTTTCTTACCCTGAAGCACTAATATACAGCAAGGTACATGTTTTGAAACTGAAAGTGTTCATGAAAGACCAGCAATGTTCCAAAGTTGTTTCACGTACACTGGATGTGCCTTTCAGCAATAAGGATTCCAAGAGCTGATCATACTGTGCCTCCATTTTCAAAAGATCATCTAATAAGTCTTCTCAGTGCCGGAAGGTTTTCCTTGTCCTTTTGAACGTTTCAGATTATTTTCTTCCCAACCTTGGGCCTTAGCAATGTATAATGCTTTTCAGGTTTACAGGAAGAGTATATGGATTTAATTTTTGCCTTATTTAAGCTTTTTCATTTATTAATGGAATTGGACTTAATGTGGTGCCAGCAATCACCAGGTTTTGTGCCTGACCCTGGCATGTACATTTTTGTAACTTCTAGGTTCTTACCCTTTTCCACATTCTCCAATGTGAATAGTGAAAGCAGCTGCCATTTGGAGTCCTGAAGTTTGAAAATTAAAAAAAAAAAAATCACTCCTTGCCAGTACCAGTGGAGAGTTTTGGTTAGAGAGGACCACAGAAAGACAGTAATCAGGGTAACCGAGCAGCTTAGAAAATAAATGGGACAGTTTCCTCCTCCTGGAGCAGCAGAGGGGGGTTGGGGGTGGCGTGTGTGCCCCTGAGAGCTGCTTTGTTCTAGGGAGAAAGTAAAGAGGAGATGCTTATTTACTTACCAGCTATGAATCCATCTAAGAGCTTCATTTAGTTTTTCTAATAGCTTTAAATTCTGTTTTTTCCATTCTAATGACACGCTCCCTTTTTTAACATAGGTAAGGCTTTATACTTCTCCTTGACTTAATAGTCGCATGAGAGCATATAACAAACATTTCCTAAGATTACAGACAAAGTAGCACTAACCCTGGCACTGCCATTAGCTGGACCCCACCTCCTGCCAGCTCTGGCCAAGTCACTTCCCCTGCTGTGGCTACACCACAGTGGTGGACTGCCTGTGGGTAAGTTGTTCAGCATATTGTGTTCATCTTTTTGGAAAACTTCACAGCCATCAGCAGACGTTTGCTGGCTAGGATGCATCCATTCCAACAGAGTTTTAAAATCTACTATTTTAAAACTCTACCTGGCATCTGATAACTGCAGTTTACACAATCATCCAGTCATCTTTAAAAACAATTATTTTTATTCTTGCTAAGTAATAAAGTTGCATGTTTGGGACTTGCCTAAAATTGGCCATGCAGTCTTGGATTTGGTGTTGCTTGGTACCTAAAAGAGGGGGAAGCTCCCGGCATTGCTGTAGCTGTGACTATATAATGACCTTTTTTTTTTTCTTCTTCCCACCCAGATTAATAGCATGTCCTCCATCCATGATATTCCAGTCCCCACGTTAGTTGTACAGTGACATTTATTGTATATTTATTCTCTGACTCCTGCAGCTCAGACATGGAAGATGAAGCTCCTATCTCGTGCTGATTTGATCCCCAAATCTGCTAGCTTATGGTTTTATCCTATTTGAGAAAACAAAAATCCAACCGTAACTCCTTCCACAGAACTTGTAGTGGTTTCAAGAAGTCACTTGTGAATTCTAAAGTTCATGCAAATGGAAACTAACCGTGTGTTCTTTAATCCAGTATTAAAATTTTGCTTTTGCTTGTCATATAGAATAGCTTACCTGAATTTTTGATTTTAATTTCTGTCAGTTCCATAATCATTGCATGAGCCTTCACCATCACCAATGCTGGTGCTGGCGCTCCTAATTTTCCTTTCTTTTTTATTTATTATTATTTCTAACTTTTTTGTTTTGTTTTTTAACTTGCAGTGCAAGCTTCACATAAAGCCTGGCAAGCCAAGGATGGTCCCGCATTCACCTGCTTTTGCAGTAATATTGTATCTCTGCCATTTGTGTCCTTTTGTTTTATTTTACTTTTTTACCCTCCCCCAAACACCGATAACTATTAACTCATTTTGCTGGATGTCGTTGAGTTGTGGAAAATGATAGAACCAAGGTGGTAACAGCAAAAGCTATGTGCAGCTTGACTTTGTTTCTGGAAAGTAAATGATTTGCCTTTTATGCCTGTTCACTGTGGCAGCGGGGAAGCATGCCTGTGACTTGTCTGTTGCTTTGAACCAAGGGGAGGAGGGGAAATTACTACATGTACGTCTGACAGGAATCTTCTCACCGCCTCAGCAGCTGAACTGTAAACCTGGGTAGCCATGACAACGACTTGCTTTTCTTGATTGCTCTTCTGCAAGAAGTCACAAGCCTTGAACTTGGGCTCTGTCTCTTGTCCACACCTCCTCACACTGAGGCACTTCTGCAGGTGCAACAGTGGTAGCATCATGGGATGTTTCATATGTGAGTAGATTTTTCATTTTAGTTAGTAAACACTTGGCTAGGCTGTCAGTTCACACTGACCATCCTCTCTTAGAGCTTTAAAAATGTGTCTGAATCTCTGTCTTTCAAATCCTGACCAAGTGGTACTCTAGTGAAAAAACTATGATTATGTTCACTTGGATCATTGTAGTCTTGATCCTCTCACAGAGATCACAATGTTTGGATCACATAATGTTGCTTGGCAGAAGAATCTCCCCCAGTGTTGACAGGCTTTCTACAGCCCACTTACTGCTCATAAGAAACACTCTTTCCTAATTACAATCATTTTGCTCTCAGTGGCCTGAGGGGGCAGTCTCATGACCAACTCCAGGAAATCAGTGATTCTAGTCACATTTTCCATAACCAGAAGAAAAGTTTGAGAAATACTTCAAACAGAAAATTTGTGTATCATCTGCCACACAAATTTGAAGGGGGGCTTGTCAAGTTCAAGTAGAAATGGGAAGGGCTGTAGCACAAACCCATGAGTCAGGAAGGCAGGACTTCAACTTCATACCCTACTTCCTCACATCATCTCTGTTTGCAACTTGGCAATAAAAGAAAAACTAGAATAGCTCGTCTTCCAGATGCAGTGGTCTTGGAGGACTGTGCCTCTCCTTTCCTCTCACCATGGCTATCTCTACCTATTCTTCATGTCTGAGGCCCAGTGCTTAGACAATGAGGATCAGGACTAACTGCCGCGTGGTGCGGTGCAATGACACGGACCACAAGCAGGTTGGTGTGGGAAGGGTGATGCTCTTTTCTGTGCTCTTCCTTTCTGGTGCTCACTCTTCCATCTTCCTGACTTAGCCACCCCTACTAACAAAATCCTTCCAGGCTTTGGGCTGTAGACTCCTTTTTCTTACTTCAAAGAAAAAAAAAAACATATCTCATGTAACCAGTATATTCCCTCTGCATTTCCTCCTGGCCTTTACTAGTCATCCATGAAGTCAATAGGATAGAAGACACTGACCCTCTCCTGACACTCTCACCCTGGTTTTCAAACAATAATCTCTAGTAAACTCAAGGATTTTTTTGTTCTTTCTCTTCATCCTCAACCATACTCTTTAGGGAGAGTCTTTCAAGAATCAATTAAGGCTTAATTAGACACAGTAAGGAGATCAGTTCCAATGAAGCCCAAAGTAAGCATGGTTAGAAATTGCAAACTAGAAGCAGCAATGGTAGCTTAGAGACAGTTTAGGATCTGCTGGTCCAATGTTTCTGTTTTTGCTTTTTTTTTTTTTTTTTAATGATGTTAAAAGCCTGCAGCTCACTGTGGATCGGCCAGGTAGTGGCATGCTGCTGGTTCAGCCCGGCTGGGTTTGCTCATACCCTGTGCAGCGGGAGAGCGCTTGAGAGCTTGTGTGATGTGCTTGTTCCAACCACTGCTTACGTGAGCATTTTTTGTGCCTTATAACAAAACATATACTTTTAATTTCTAAAAACACATTCCTAAAATTAACATTTTAGATGCATCACTAAAACATTTTGAAAGTGAATCGAGCGGTGAAAGACATCCAACTGACTTTTTGATTCCAAGATTACTGATTGGATTGATTTTCCCATTCCATTTTCATAGGAAACCATGATATGGAGAGTCAGGGAATAAAAAGTCAAAGAAACATATGGAAGGTTTTTTTCCTTAATGTGTGCTTCTGAACATTTTTCTACCACTGCTCCCTAGCCCTGTTTTGTTTGTTATTGCTGCTTTTCTCTTTTCTTTCTGTATCTATGCCTTTTTTCACAGTAGTCCTTGGCTCTGCACGGAATAAGTGATATCCTCAAATCTAATTGGATGTGCTTTCGCCTTTGCATGTAAGTATGAGAGTAAAAGAACTTTAAGACCTTTTTGATTTTTTTTAAATTAGAGAAACAAGTGAGATAATATTTGTTAAAAATATATTTAAAATGGCCACATTATTTTTTTTTACAAGAAAGAAACAGATTCAGCTTTTCCCTGTTATCAACATAGAAATCAGAAATTGCCGAATCCTGATCTGTTTTTACACAGCATCATCAATATAGCAGGGGGTCCCGAAACTTACCTTCCAATGAGGAAGTCAACAGCAAAGTTTATGTCAGACCATCTTTATGACCGCTGACACTGGTGATGTTGATTTTAATAGTCTTCGTTTCTCCCTCCTGCTAACTACTGCTGGCAGTGAGCACCTTGTTTGTTTTTTCCCCCCAAATAGCCCATCTGGCTTCTCCTCACATCTTTTATTCAACCATTCACCACCTTTTTTTTCTTCTGAAATTTAGATACCAACAATAGTTTATGTCCAGCAGGATGTGAAGAAAAAGCACTTATGAGAATTTATTGATAGTTCAGAGACTGTCTCCCAGCTTACTCTCTTTATTAATCTGCCAAGGTTTTGACCAGAAAGGGCATCTCAACCAGGGGGATATTTAGCAGAGCTCTGGGCACAGATTACTTATCTTCCTTTTCTACTTTGTAATCTCACCAGCAATAACACTTATTCTTCATCTTGTGCAACTCAACTGAACAGACTTGGTTTCTTCACTTTCTTGATCTAGCCATGTATTTTGCATACAAAATGGTTGAGGCAGGTGTTTCAGCTGTCACCAACCCGTTATACTGTCTCTGTGTGGTCCCACCAAAACCGTCCATTCAGACCTCTTTGCTTTGCCATTTACCAGTGTCTGAAATTGTCAAGTCTCAGCTTCCAGAATTCTTGGTTCCATTGACAGGACACATGTGTGATGACTCTTCAATAGAAATTTTCACCTACAAAGTTTAGATTGTATGTAGGTAATGAAGGAAATTTTTTCAATAAACTGAAAATCAAGCTGTGAACAGCATTAGAACTTTGTCTATTTCTTAATTTTAAAATATGCTGATATGCCTTAAACTGTAGTTATAGTTCATTGTCATTTTGCTGTTTGAAAATAACCAATGTGTTTCTAAAACTGTTGTGTAATCTACTTTCAGTGTGAAAGCAGAATTGTCATATATGTAAGTTGCATGTTAGACACTTGTCTTTAAAAACGGAAATAATTGTATTGATGTGAACATAACATTTTTCCAAGTATGAAAGTAATCATGTAGCAAACAAACATGCTCAGCAATTTGGTGTCTGTTAAGGTAGGAGAGTGGTAAACAGGTAACCTGCATATATCACTAGTGCCAAAACATAAAGTGGGGGAAAATATATTTTTACCCAAACATTGTGTGCCCTTTTGTGAATTCTTTTTAGTCACTGCTTGATTTGCCTCTGAACACATGCTTAATAGTTTGGATAAAAGAAACAGGGATAAAAGAGCCTCATGCTTTTCAGCATTGTCTGGTGAACTTCAAATGCTGCATCTTTGCAGCACCAGCTTCTCCAAGACCCTTGCCCTGTGGACCCCTGTATTTTGTATACCTTCTCTGCCATCCATTCTTCCCTCAGCACCCCTGCCCTTTTACTTGGGAAGAATTCCCTGGCAGCCCCTGCTTAGACCAGCCAAGGCATCATCCTCTTTTTGGCCTCTGATGCCACAGCTGCTGCTGCTGCTCCGGCTCCCACGCCTGCGCCCGCTCCTGCCCCCTGGGCTGCTCCCGGAAGCCGTCCTTTAACTGACATGCTGCTGTTCTTTCACAGTTGGTTAGAGAGGAGACCTTGACCCTCCCCTTTAAGCCTTTGAGAATCACGTTTGAATCTGAACCTTTCTTTTTTCTCTTCTGTAGCTTCTTCTTTATGTAACCATCCTGTTGACAAGCCCTACTCTCTCCTAATGGACATAGCGCATTAGAAGAGCAGGAGCTGTCTGTTCACACGTGTTGGGGAAGAGTTACCTCATTTCCACCATCGCCTCCTTTTCTTTTAAAGTCTGGGCCAAATACTGCACTGCTGTTTGTATTTGTCGATGTCTGTTTACAAACCGCTGCTCACAGTGGTTACTAAAGTGACTATCACTACCCAAAAGAGTAATGCTTACTATACCAAGGAAATTGAGTGAAACAGCACCTGGGCCAGGACCCAAGGTAGCCATGCGTCCCTGGGATCTTCTTGCATAACTGTCATGTTCTTGAAGCTGCTGATCCAAGTATTCACGGACTGAAGACAGTGTGTGCCCTGATCTGAGGTGACCAGCACCTCCACGGTTCGCAAACTTGATCTCATGTTAACTCCAGACTTCTCTGTCCCATGAGTGACATTCTGAACCGCCCCATTGGGAACCCTCAACCATCAATCAGGTCATGAGATGTGGGCAACGTCTTCTTCCTTTTGTTAGTTTTATGGGTTGCTTTGGAATTTTTGGTTTTGTTTTTCCTTAGTATTTGATATTGCATGAACAGAGATGGCTACACTTTTTTTTTTTTAATTTGGAGTATTCTATTGATACAATGTTTTTATTTTTCAGCTGACCATCTGCCTCTTGAGAGAGAGAAGTGGGCATCCTTCCTTTAAATTCAGGAACCATTGTTGTTTTGACTCTTTTTCTGTTACCTGCATCCCTCTATACAAGTTGTTTTCGGAAAAAAAAAAAATTTCAGTTAGCCAGTTGTTTTATGTATTGGTTATTCAAATTTAGTTTTGGTATCAAACTTAATGCCAGTGGTAAGTTCAAGAAGAAATTTAAGCAAGCCTTATGTTACAGAAATCTGTCTAAGATGCTTTCCTCATCACATATAAAACAGAAAACCCTTTGCTATCACTGTGGGTTCACAGCAAGTCTTAGTTATGCTTAAAATGTACCGTTGTTGGGTGGATGACTTTTCTGCCTTTGGAACTCAGTTTATACTTAAAGAAACTTTAAAATAACTTTTGGACCCACCCCTGATTATTATTGTAAAACTCTGCATTTTACCTTGTATTCAGGGTTTTTGTGTGTCCTGGACCACAGGAAACCCCAAACAAGTATTTATTTTCTCCCAGACAACAGTGTCCTGAACAGTGTTTCTGATCCACATTGTCTTCCAAGTTATCGGGTGGCATTCTCCGTTGTCTACAAAACCTGCTGGAAATCACGTAAAATACACCCATGTACACACACGCACACAGCTGCCAGGGAATCAGTAATTCTAATGCTGGCTAAGCACCTCTCGGGGTCACTTTTAGAGTATGAACATGCATACTTGTGATTTCATACTTTTATTTCAATACTTCTCACAAGTCTCTGCTTATTTCCACCTTGTCACAGTAAGCAGATTATAAGAATATTGCTGATGGCATGTGCTGAATTTGTCAGGAACCTTAGGAATGTTCCTCCTCTATTGGGAAGGTGAAATGACATAACCAGGGTCCCTGCTGGCTGATTGACTTGAGTCTTCAGGAAGAGGTTAGAGCAATTCAGTGAGCTTGCTGGCAGGAGCTTTCTTAACTTAGACGCTACTAGTAAATTATCAGATTCATCTGAGCTATTAAGCAATCCAGGTGTGCCCAAGAGCCATCCCTTCCCATCTACATGAATCCATAGGTAGAAAGCTGCTAGTGGCAAGTGGGTACCAACTCCATAAAGGATGCCAGAGCATGACATACCATTTTTGTCCGTTAAATGCCAGCATCCTGACACCATTGTCATCACTAAGTACAATAAAGCGCTTAGCCTTATACTCTTTATCATACTTAAAATATGGCCACCACCTTCACAATAGTGGTCTATATCAACGTTAAAGACCTTGTTATTTATTTTAAAAGTAAGTTCTGCTTAAGTTTGTAAAGATATTTGGGGTGCAATATTTAAAGATCAAATTAGTTTTTTTTTTTTTTAAGAGGGAAATGTGTTCTCTATTATTGCTAGCCCCTTTTTGTCCTTTTTAGTTCTCAAGTTAGAGGAAGTTACTATAGCAATCATCATATCGGAGGGCATGGGAAGGAAGTTTGCTCCCATCAGATACTAGGGAAGCAGGCCACAGACACTCCTTGTTATGTATATGCTGTCTCTCCACTGATTGGCTTTTTACATCAGGTGTTTGTTTCCTTTGCTCAAATGTGAATAAAACTGGTAGGTTCTTAGGTTCTGACTGACCAGCTAAGAGATACAAAACCATCCTAGGAGTAAGTATCCATAATTATTTACTTTCCCAAACCCCACTGAAAAAAAAAAAAAGGGAAGAATTGAACCATACCATTTCAACCTATTTCCACTTTGTAACAATCTTTTTATTATTTTTTTAAAAATATTACTTGACTTTAGATACAGCTCAGCCTTTTTGCTCTGTGTAGTCCAAACATAACACATCATAGGAGAGAGCTGATCTTAACCAGTATGCACTGAGTGGGCCAGATAAAATTAGGTCATCTTCCAAACCTAGTAATTTAAATTTTTCTACCCATTAACTGTACCTAGCAAGTGAAATTTCCTTATTTTAATTGTTTTTGCTTGTGATTGGCCCAGATTAGGGTGAACAATTTTGGCCCTCCGAAGCCAACCAGAGATTCCACTGTGTTTACATGACATTTCTACACAAATCTTTTGGTTTGCAGATGACTATCATCTTCCCACCCTGGAGACTGACAGTAATAGCGTGGTTCACTTTGAAGCTCCTTGTACTGGAATTCTCAAGACCATGGTATTTAGTACTGTGACTGATACCATCTGGTTTTCATCAGTCTCTAGTGAACAACTGGCATCTCCAGGGCTGGTCAAGAGATTGAATGTGTTACTTTGAAAAGACTTAATTGTAAACCTAAGTATCCATGCCCTCCCTCTCCCACCTTCCTGTTTTACTCCTAAGTAGTATATAAATGAGATCTGTATCATGTGAAGCACAAAGGAAATTTCACATCTGCTTCAAATCAGTTACTTTCCATGCTGTCTATTGACTGGCCCTTCAGTCCCCTGTGGAAACTTTCAATGTTACAGCACCTAGATTCGAGGCTGCAGAGACTATAACCAAATTGGCCCCATTTTTCATATCGTACCCCCTTTCCAGACCTATGTTAGATACTGGAAATAGAGTAGTCATACTCTATGAGTTGCACCTGTCACTGTACAGCTTATAAGCATAGCAGACTTTTGGAGTAAGAGGTAAGTCCTTCCTATGCTAAGTTGCAAAAGAAATTGTATTATTAAAACAGTACCCTAGCCCATCGGGACCAGCTGCCTTTCAGTGGTTGGATGCTTAAAGGTGCCCATCATTCTGGAGTGACCTAATGAAATTAACTGTTTCTGAGAAGTTAGTTCACTGGGCCTAGGGTTTTTTTTCTATTTACCTAATTTCTAACACAATTGTGTTTCTAACACAATTCTGGCACTGTCTGATCCGGACAGTTTGTGCTTTTAAGAGTAAAAGGGAATAGTTCTCATTTCATTCTTAACCCAGAAGTACCTAGAACGAAACTAGTGAGCTTTCCTCAAATTCACCTGGTCAGACATGCTCCATCAGACACACTTAATAGTTGAAAGCTTTCAACTTCAATTCCTTGAAGTTGCCAATTCTACATGAACTTGCACTTCATTTTGTTGTCCTGATGATTAGCTGACTCCAACTCAAGGGAGCAAGACTTTGGGGCTTGGCTATTTTCAAGTCTTGTGTTTCTATATTTTGCAGAACCAGGCAACTCAAAATTTTGATTTGCATAATTGGTTCTAGGTTGTTCTTAGTCTGAAGCACATCCAGGCACACCTGCCTCACACCCTGGCAGATCTAGCATCTTTTCCTTGTCCTGCTTGCACAGATCTCCTGTGTCTTTAAGTGATAGAAACTTGCAGTTGCAAATGTTTTGACTCCTGTTAGACCATTCATTTCCACCTGGTAAGCCCAAGCAATTCTTTTCCTACAAGCACCATCTAGTGGCCAAAGCTGAAATAAAGGGCAGAGGAGACATTTCCTGTTGGCTAATTTGAAGGGTTTGGGCAGCTTTAGAAATAGCAATTATATGTTAGACAAAACTTCACAGCCAGTAAAGATTTGAGCGGAGTTCAAAGTTAAACCCTGTTAAAAATTCTTCTCTATAGCACTGGACAACTCTAATCTTCAGTTCGCTAATGTAGAGATGCTTATCTTCCCTGATGGTGGTGAGAATAGCGTATCTACATTTACCAGTTAAAAATGTCCTTAAAGCACACGCTCCCTGCCATCTTGGCTGGGTATCAGCAGCTGATCTCATTTTCTAAAATGAAAGGTAACTGCTGCTTTGGGCAGTATTGCTCAAACAACTTTGTTGCAGTAATTTCAGGATGTGTTAAATTACAGCACGTGTATACATAGAGTTCAGAGTGCGCATGTTAAGTGGTTCCAACACAGGAGACAAATACTTCATGGCGAGTAAGCACCAATTAATTCAGCAGTGCAGACTGATTCTCATCAATTGCAGCGAAGAGCCACCTAGCCACTTTCAAGAATGTCAGAACAGTTTGGACAAATCTGCTTTATCTTTATTGGCATTTGGAAGCCCTTTCGTTCTCACTAATGACATCTGTAGTAAACACTGCTTTTTAAAGTTAACCAACTTCGTACCAATCTTGCTGTGATTTTCACATCTCCCAGCCTGATGAAGAGCTAGAGCGTGAACTTTGACTTTTCTGTTGAACGGGAGGTGACTTTCCCCCAGTGTTCCCTTGCCTTCAGAGGCACTTCCCTTGGGTGTACCAACTAAGGTCCATAAAGTCAATTATGCGAATCTTGGAAGTGGTTGTTATGTCAAGATTTGAGACAAGTGAGGCTGAGAAAATAGGTTCAGTAGAACAGGATCTATTTTAACACATCCTTGATGAAGTGCTATGCTATTTAAGAGTATTGTGCTTTTGCTGTTAATCCTTGAGTTCAGCTCCACAGAAACAAGGTTCTCTAAGACTAGGGTAGCTCAGCTTTTTGGGACAGGTGCAGGGAGATATAAATAGGTGTTCATGAGGGTTTGGTCTCTGGGTTAAGTAAGCTTTGAAGCATGAGAGCTAGCCACCAAACAATCCCAATTTGTCTCCCAGGAAAACAAAGCTGTTCCAAACAAACTGACCAGAGATTTTTGCTAAAGATTAGAAAAACCTCAAGATTACATTATTAAATTCTTACTGTCCTTTAACTTCTATTTTGAAACTACTGAACTGCAAATGAAATACTCTGATACTCATTTTTATCACTTTTTCTCATAAAAATGTTCATCTTTTGGTGGAGAGGATGATAGCCACTTATTTTATGGAAATTACAAGTATAGATGATTAGGATATATACAACTTTGTGTTTACAAAGTCAATCTCTCTCTTTGCCTCCAAGACAGTTCATTCTTTTTTTCTCCCTCCTACTCCCTTGTATTTTCATGTGGGTAAAAAGGTTTCCCTTTAATAGGTGGGTAGCCAATTCCACAAGAAAATTATTAACCCAAGAATATTCAGCTAAACTAAATTAGTAAGCTCAAATGACACATTATGTAAATATGGAGTCTTCTGCCCTCACAATTCCATGAAAATGAGAAATGTTTGGAAGGACCAGAATCACCAGTGAAAAAATAATGTAAGGGGTTAAGTACTACATTTCCTTGGCCACATTTAAATTCTCTTCATGTTCCTTTTCTGCAAGCATATGCTTAGCATTTTTTTGTTTTGTTTTCTGTAATAAAATGGCTCCTAAGCCATCAGGAATTTGTATATCTTAACAAGCAGAAAAATGAGACAAAGATCAAGGACAACTTTTTATTGCTACCAGAGGCTTTTTTTTTTTTATCATCAGTACATGGTTCTGACTGCAGTGCCTTCTTCAGACTGTACAAGGAGCTCAGGGTCCAGAAGTTATTAAAAGAAATATAGGTAGGCTGGGAAAGCAGGAGAAATAATTTTTACCAAGGAAATTCTAATAGTTTAACATAAAACTGGGGTACTGAATTCAGTTATTACACATTATAGACCCAAATCATGGAGTTGCCCCACTTTCTGGACAGTTTTCTCCTATTGATTATGAATGAGTGAAAACTGACCAGTCCCCAAAAATAAAACAAAAAACTAATTTTAGTTGTTACATATTTCTTTGGTGAGCACCTGGATATATTAACTTTATCACAAATTTTTTTATAAAAATGTCAAAGATGTTTTCAACAAATCTAAGAGTCTTAATCACATGCCGCTTTTAAGCTTTAAGATAAACAAAAATACAATTTTGTTCCCAAACTCTAGAAACAAATGAAACAAAAATCAACATGGTTGTGAGTTATTTTTCTATTTACCACCTCTGATTTCTATGGGGCAATTTCAAAATACCTTTTTCTTTTAAGGTAATTTGAATCATGGTTTAAACATGGTTGTCACACTGAAGTAATTTGCTCACTAAATTGCTAAAAAAAAATTTGAGAGTTTCCTAATCAGTGGAAGTCAGGCTACTGTATATATTATAGATCAACATGCATAAAATTCATTAAGTTTTCAATGAAGCAAGCAAAAGCAAGAGGAAAATTAAGTCGGGACACTGGGGAACGGGGTCTTGCTAGCTATGAACTTTGGAGTTTTTTTTTTTTAAAACACTGAATTTTTGACACGGGCAATCTACATTACATTTTAGCAGCGAAAAGGGTAGAAGTGACAAATACTACAAATAAATTTTAAACAATTTTCAGATCTTTTAAGTTTTACACTTTTTTTGGTCTTTTAAGTGCTTAAATAATGTTGAATTATAATTAGCCACACAAGTAAAGGATTGGTTTTTTTTTTTTCTGGCTCACTTCACATTCACCTGATAGGGTTTATGTACCTAGTTTACAGCCTTTTCTGGTCCTCCACATTCCCATTTCCAGAGTAGTCTACCTTTGTACTGGAGGGTGACACTTAAAGCTACATGACCGAAACAGGCTGCAAAGGTGGGCAAGGGGAAGCATGTCCCTCTTGCCTTGATATATCAGTGCCACACACAGAACCCACACTTTCTGAAGCACTGTCTTCATTATAGAGCCGTTTGATTCCATCATAGAAGTCATCCACTTCCATTTCCTCTACTTTGCGTTTAGCAGAGGTATGTTTATATCCACTGGTAGCTGGGAAATGATGGTAGAAGGCTGCTGTACCTCTGACTGGCTTTTCTGGCTTGCTGTTGTCCTTGGAGAAGTCTGGGCCTGGGACAGAGGAGTGATGTAATCTGAACACTCCTCTGTCACAGGTCACCAGGGTGTGCTTGAGGGGACGGTAGACATAAACGGAATTTAGAGGCAGGGAAGACTGCAGAGTAGAAAGATGATGTGCCACAAGCTCCCGACAGTGGATCAACTGGGAGCTATCCATCTGGGGGAGGGAAGAGAAAATACAAAGTTGATTAATTAGCATAGGCTGCTTTGTCATCTTTGCCAGTTAATTTTTTTCTCTGTGCCCCTGTCCCTCCCTTTTCTCTCCCCACATATCCTACCTAAAACTCTATCTAGCCTACTCTCTTTATGTTAGGAATTATGGCTGCATCAATACTTGTAATTTAATAAGACTCTTTGGAACTTGAATTCTGCGTTTGCAATTAAGTACTGCCTATATTCATAAAAGCAGACTCTTGTTCACTACTCTATATTGAGCATTTGCTTTGTTTAGTCCATTCTCCCCATTTAGAAGGCCCTTCACTGCACTCTCTCTGCCTCTTCTAATCTCTTAATACAAAACTTTATTAAACATTTAAGAAGCCAGGGCATGGAAAAACTTAAATGAGGTTTAGGGAAGTCTGTCTGACTAGAATTTTTTTTAAATAAATATTTAAATTGTCTTACCAGTAAATGAGCACTTTTGACAAGTTGTTTTTGTAGAAAATAGCAGATTTGACAACTAGATAGAAATGCTTAATTTGGAGGCTTTTCTGATTATATACTCTACGGGACATCAGGTATCAATCCTGTGTAAGTCGCTTTTGATTCTCCCCTGCCTCCTACACACCCTAATTACAGGGTCATTTCTCTATCAACCTTACAATACTGTGCACGAATAATCCACCTAGCCTCTCCTTTTCAGACTACAAGATCCCACTGTATTATTCATTTTTATTCCCTATGATAGTAGCACAGTAATTAAAGCCTTCAAAAATCTTACCTGTATTATAGGTAAGAACCTATTTAGTCCATCTGCCCTACTTTCCCTGTAATTAGCTCTAGTCAAAATTCCTCCAGCAATATATATTTTTCTTTTATTCTGATTTCACCTCAGTGCCTATCAGAAGTAAGCTAGTTCAACACTTAGTGTTCTATCATCAAGGCTCTCCACAATCTGACCCCAAACTTCCTTTCCAGCCTTATTTCCTGCAAATATCTTGTCCTTGCTCACCCTGTTTTTACTTATTCAAATGGTAGTCTGGGTACCAGCTACCACCTCCAGTAAGTCTACCTTTACTATTTAACTATCAGGGATCACTTTCCAGTCTTGTGTATTTTATAAACCAAATCTTATTCACCCCTATATAACCTACAACATAAAGTAATGGCTATTTGCAATACTAGAGAAAAAATAACCTGTTCAAGAATGTATTTGTTCACAAAATTTTTAGCTTTAAATATATTTGTTACCTGTTACCCAGTAGAAGTATCAGTAAAGACAAACATGAAAGGCTGCTACTTACCATGTACTACCAATGTAAAAATGCCTCAAACAGAAGCAATACATGAAAATGATATTTTTAATACTTACTATTTTGTTCACTGATTTGTTTCTAGTTTTAAAGATACTAGATAGTACTCTATGGGTAAGATACTCTTAATATTAGAATTTCTTTCCCTTCCTTAAAATAAAAAACTCACATAATACTTAAGACAGTCCTCAACTATCGAGCTCACAGCTGTGTTAAGAGTTTATCATATGCCTCAGGGATGTAGAAATGAACCAAGCTGAAAACAGAATAAAGCAGGGAAGTTCTTTAAGGCAACTACTACCCTAGCCAATACTTCAAGAAATCTAAAAAGAGGTAACAGAAATCAAAGACAAACTGGGAATAACAAGAAAAGCCATAGTGTAAAAATTACTTCTGAAAACTATCTAGTTTAAGGAACTATTCTTCAGCTAATGAATGATACTCAGTGGCCCAGAAAAGTAAGAGTACTGACAAAAATTCTAATGCCTTCACCACTGGGTATAACATAGCAGAATCTTGAGGAGGGGAAATGAACAGGTGATTTCAGATTGTTACTGTAATCTCTCTGTGTGAGCAAATCAAGTTAACAGAAAGTTGTATTTTAGAAGTGAGAACTATTAAAAATGACAGAGCTAGAGAAAATAATGGAGATCATTCAAATCAATACCATCTCTATGAACTATACTTCCATCCAAGTCCTTTGTCCAAAATAAATTCCTTCTAATCTACTACAACATGAATTGTTGTAAGAAAACGAAGTAACTTGACCTTTATTGAGATTCAATGGAAGAAACAAAGCAAACATATATTGGAACTATCACAACTTTTGACAGAAGTCCTCCAATGCAAACTGTTAAAACTAAAAAAAATAAAAGGACATAAAATGAACTCATTCTAGATGCAAGGTGTCAAGAGGACATCTGTTATGTTCTATGACAATATTCCCAAATTTTAGTATGGTAGTCATTTCTAGGTTTGTCTTTCTAGAAAAAAAGGTGGGGCAAATAGCATGTTTGTGAGGCAGACATTCAAACAGATTACCAATGGGAAAGTAAGGCAGAATAATATGAAATAAGCAGACCTAGATTTGGTGGGCAGCATGAAGCACTGAAATATCAACTGCAATAGTCAGACCTTGGTTGTCTTCAAGAACTGAAAGACTTTGGTGGGGAGCATTTGCTTCCTGAACTCCCTTATCTAATTTTAAACACTAGAGGGAACATCTTTACTGCCTGATTAGGGACTAGGGAAACCACCACACTAGTCTGGGTATAGAATCCTGATATTATCAAGGTGAGTGACATTAGTAGGGAAGAAGACTTGAGGACAGCTACAGAAATAGTGATGAGAGAAGGGGTAAGTAAACAAATAGTGTAGCTATTCCAGAACAGTGACCGGTAGCATGAGAGCTAAGGAGGCAGTAAAGAGGGGCTAGGCAGGTCAGAAGGAAGTTTGCCTTCAAACCATGAACACTTGTTATACCTTGTCTCAAGTCCAGAAAGAACACAGGCAGAGCTTGTGACAGTGGGCCACCACAGCACCAGATGTCTGTGACAGACCACTGGCAGTCTTCTCCAACCAAGACCCTAGGCATGATTGCACAAATCTTGTGCAAAAATTCTCTAAACTAAAACCAGAAACCCAGGAGAAATATTTGATATTACTATGGCCTTGTCATAGTTGTCATTACAAATACATCAGACCTAGTATTCCTACCTCAACACAGGTGAATTTAGCAAAGACAGAACAGAGTCTATTGAAGGATGAGGACCCCCTTAGGTCTGGATCATAAGGACTGGTTACCAGTTTCAGTTTATTTTTGGAAACTATGACCAAATTCCAAAGTCTTTAACATTTTGTGACCTTGTTTCCAGCTATCTTTCCCCTAACAACTTAAATAATATACACTGGGTAAAGACATTAAAACAAAACAAAATACTATGTCCCCAATGCCTAGATCACAGATTCCTCTATAAATGTAGAATGTATCTACATACATACAGAAAATGGAGCAGTGGTTTTAGAACTATATACAAACAGCTTGTGGAACATCAGAGTGGCACTCTGAACCCAACATATTACAAAGTAATATTTTTCAATTTTGTATTTTGGGAGTATGTAAGTGTACAAGATTTTGTTACAGGAAAGGGTCCGGTTCTTAAAACAAAAAACAAAATCTGAAAACAATGCACTAGTATCTTTATGGTCTATGTAGTTTAGGAAAGACACTGGCTGAGTCTTCTTCACTACTAAGTTGTCCTATCTATCTGGCTAAAAAGCTCCAGGTTCCCTGGATCACAGTTATAAAATCTGGGTTAGAGCTATAAAACACAGGGGTTAATAAACACAATGATTTCTAAGAATCCTTCAAATTCTAAGTTTATAATGTTAACTTCAGTACAGAGGGAAACAAAGTTTCAGTGAACACTTTCTAGCATCAGAGGACTTACAAAAAAGAATAAGCAAATTCTCCAGTATTCTTAAAAAAACAGCTTCAAAGCTACAGAATATACATGTTATTTACAGCATTTTTATTATTTATGCTTAAAAGTCTGTGCTTTCTCTATGACTGTAACAATGTAAAGGGCAACTCTGTGAACTTGGGAATAGGCAGAGACCAAGCTAGGAAGAATGAAGAGATGCCATTTGTTCTAATAATAATTTAAAAAGTTATAGTAATACCCTATTAGTATTCCTTTTCCATAGTTTAATGTGAATGAGTAATATCTGACTTCACTTTCCAGTACTCTGGGTAAGCAAGCAAAAAAAAATTTTCTGTGCTGCACTTTTTCACTTCAATGGTGGTTTATGACAGCTTCTAAAAATTCTCACTAAATAACTATCTCCTAGGATTTATTTTCATTATATTTCAATGGAAAGAACTGCTTCTCTATTATTTCAATCTAAGATGTCCTATTAAAAGAACATATCTCCCTTGTAAAGGATAAACAATCTGCGTTATACTACACATTATGCGCCAGGGGTGTAGAACAAGCAGAGTCACACCAAAAACAGGAAGAAAAGAGCAAAGACAGATGGCTAATACACTGCTAATATACTGCTCTGATCATCACTGTTTTAATGAAAAGACTCAGTCCTCCTATGCTTACAAACTGAAATTCTTAAGAGCTGAAAAGCAGTATATGTCTGGTAATTTTAACGACTCACATCTCTAAGATCATCAGTTACAATTATCTTAACAAAAACACCAAATTCCAGCCTTACTCTTATTTTTCTTTTAGAGTATTTTATGTTTTATTCAATGTTGTAGTTCTTTGTTAAAAGGATTTTTTTTATGTTATATTTTTAAGATCAGAATTTGTTTTCTCTCCATCAAATACAATAAAACAAGTCAGAATAACTAGCATTAAATAACAATAGGGATTTAAAGAGTTGGTAGGTTCTTGAGTCTTTTATCAACTCAGGTGGCAGAGTAGTTTACAGCAGATCTAAACCTGTAAGATATCTGATGATGTGTCCAGAATAAGGATTCTCTTTAAGTAATTGCTGACATACAGTACCATCACTACGTTTCCATTTTAATGGGAATTTTCTCCATGAAACACTCACACTTTATATAGCTGGTTAATAATACTGACTAATATTGTAAGTTATCTTAGGCAATAATAGCAGGACAAAATCTCTTTCAGAAACATAGCTTCTATTTGCTAAACATTGGCACAAATACTTCACTTTCCAGCCAACAATAAATTGTATGCTTGTCTAAAAAGCACCTTTTCCATCTAAATTTCATAGCCATCTGGTAATGTACCCCTAGTTAAAAGATAAACTTAAAATTGACACTATTGGACCCTCTCTTGTGGCACAGAGGTTAAAGTCTCAGCACTATCAAACTATCACCAGCCACTGTGGCATGAGTTCAATCCCGAGCCAGCGAGTTAAATAACACACATGGCACAGCGGACCTCTCCTGTCTTGCCCACTATCCCCATCAGCAGTGTATTTCAGCAGATCCACCTATTCTGCTCTCCACTGTCTCTGATGACTCTTCTCACACACACACACATACACTGCCCCCCCTCCTCAGTCTACCCTACACCCAATTCTTAAATTTAAAAAAATGAACACTATTTAATTATAGACACTTACCTGTGCTTTCTGAAGCAATTCAATCGTCAGAGGAAGCCAATCAGGAATGAGTTTCTCCATTTCCAAACTGACCATGGCCAGAGCAAGCATGGATCCTTTGAACTGCAGAAGTTGGTTGCAGGCCATACAGTGAAGAAGTTGCTTGGTAAGGACTGCCAAATGCTGAGATGGGCTCAATTTGGGCAAACTGAAAAGTAACTGGGGTCTAGTTGAAACTGCAATGGCATGGAACTATAAAATAAGAAGAATATTATTCTACTTTTCTTAAATGTTAAAGGTAAATTATGTATAGAAACTGACAGAATCTTAGGTATTACTCAATTTCTAAGTCTGAAAATTTAGCTTCAGTAATTTTTACATACATTCTAATTTCTAATCTTCTTTGGCTAATTTCAACAATTTCCATTTCCTAAAAATCAACAAAACTAATGAATGGGAAATCTACTTTTCAAGTTACTGAAAAAATAACTACACATTCATATACAAAACTAGAAGACAGGCATACTTACAATGTGAAGAAAATCCAATGGTGTGGCTGTATGAAGATCCCAATTCAATTTATCAAGGATAATTCTCTCCATCCTCAGAATTTCAGATGAAGAACATCCACAGAAACTGTCTCTTGCCAACACCTTCAGTACTGGAATTCTCTATTTAAAGTGAAGAGGAACAGGACAGGAAGAAAAAGACAGAAAAAAAATTAACTCATTTTCAATTTCTATTTGGCAAACAGAAAGCAAGTTAATAAAATGGAGAAAAATTTTCAAAAAAGAGATGTAACTAGTCTTTAAAGGAATATATTTACCTCATCCTCCTCAACAGTCTTGGCAGCTAAGAAAAAACAGCTGATTGCAATACAACTCAAGTATTTTGGGTGGGCCTAAAATTTTGAAGAGGGAAAAAGCAACTTCAGTGAGTCTTCAAAAAGTCATAGTTTATTTTTAAAAACTAGATATGCAGAAGAGACAAGTATGCACACCATTTTATGGAATTAATTTGACACCCACCAACTGCATTCTAAGATCAAAGCTAACACCACAACTCTGACCATATGGAAATATTAAGATCATTCCACTACAAGAAATTCAACCAAAGTCAATTCAAATTACTTTTATTTAGCAGAGAAAAGATTTAAGAAGAACAATTTATTGAATAAAATTCCCCCAATAAAAAAATATATTTGTGTGTTTATATTTTTAAAGCTAGTAGGGTCTCTACCTGTCCTATCAATAAAATCAACTAGATGTAATGGTTAAGAGAATATGAAAAAGACAACTCAATATATTTTAAATGTGTTTTTAAAAAGGGTATAGGATGCCAGTTCATGATCAGAATGTCTAATTATTGTGTTCACACACAAAAATTAAATATTCAAATTCTATCAAAAGAAAGTTAAGTTCCTAAATATATATAAAGTCAATTAGTGAGAGGAAAAATACCTTTCTTGGATTTGACAACAGGCAGGGGCTTGAATTTGCTCATATTTCTTATCTATATAAGAAGGTAGGCCTACTTTCAGCTTTAATGGTAGAATTTGCCAATCTAGCATCAGAATCCAATTTTAAATAATCAGAAAGATTTATTCAATTATACGGAATAACACAATTGAACTAGGTAACATAAATAAAACAGAAAAACCTGTCTCAACATTTATCTTATATTTAAATATTGCATTCCCATGAAAATGTGGGTGCTTCAATGACCAAACATAGACTTGATTAACCTATCAGTTATTAAACATGGTAATAATCTTTGCCCCAGTGTAAGTGGCATCCTGTCTAGAAATCTTCTAGTCCTCTGCCTGGATGAGAAATAAAGGCTGTTTCAATACCATTAATATTATAAGATAATTTATTTTAGTCAGGACATTATGGTTTAGAAAGAATCTCAGTAAGTATTATTCCTGTCTGTAATGTATTCATTTTATAGATGGAGACATTTCAGAGGTTAAGGGATACAACACAAGATTCTAGAAGGTGTGTGTGTGGGGCGGGGGGACATCTGTGGCTAAAAAAATTCTGTAGCATACCTATTTTCTTCCCCCATGTATACAACATATCAAACTCATATCCCTCAGATAACTCGAGTTCAAACAAGAGAGTCCAGTAGTTAACAACCATGGGGAAGCAATGAAACCCCTAAAATCAAAGACACCAATAATAAATTTAGTAGTTAAAAGTAATCTTAACAGTAAATGTGTGATTTTTTTTTTTTTAAGCTAAGACTAATTCTAAGTACTGGTATACGTAAGAATCATCAATATTTGCTTCTTTAAACAGACATCCAAATCTCATCTCAGTGAAATTTAGATTAAGTAAATCTTGGATATGTCTCAGGATCCATTCTTTAAAGAATTTCATAGCAATTTTTTCTGCACAACAAGGATTGAGCCTCCATTCACTGTTGTAGCCCTTTAATGGTCTGCTTTAAGTGCTTTTATTTAAACTATGAATACATTTTTGACTATTTCAATAAAGCTTAACCAAGTCTTAGTGAGAGTAACCGACCCTAATAAGGGGGTAAATTGATGTTAAGATAAAAGTAGACATCTTCCGGCCCTCCCTAGTGGTGCAGCAGGTTAAAGCACTGCACTGAGAAGCTAAAGTCACTTCCACATGAGTTCGATTCCTGCCTGCCCCGGAGGTGACAGACTTCTCCTAACCCGCCCACTGCTCCCCTCAGCAGTGTACTTCGTCATTGATCTGCATGTTCTGCTCCCCACTCTGTCTCTGGTGAAGTGTCTCGCCACCCCTGAGCCTCTGGCCTGTACCCCAGTTCTGTATGTACAATATCATTAAGAGTTAGTTCTTTAAGTTTCTTAAGAATATAAGTTTCAGGGCCCTCCCTGGGTTAAAAGCACAGCACTATGAAGCCATTGCAGCCACTGCAGCATGAGTTCGATCCCCAGCCAGAGAGGTGACCCACATAGCATGGCAGACCTCTCCTGCCCTGACCATTGGTTCCCTCAACAGTATATTTCAGTCCATCTGCCTGTTCTGCTTCCCACTCTGTCTCTGGTGAATCTCAGCCCCCATGCCTCTGGCCTGTACCCCCAGTTCTGTATGCATGAATAAATTTTTTTTTTTTAAGTACAAGTTTGAAATACAAAACAGGGTGATTATCCAAATTCTTCCACTCTGTAATTCTGACTTATTTTTTACAACTAATAATAAAGAGCTCTCAGCACTGAATTCATATTTCCTAGGCATACAAATAAGTGTTTTTGTACTCTTTCATGCCTTTTCATTAAATATGTTCTGACTTGTTGCTTTAAATCTGTTGAAGGCCTACTATGACTGATTTCACAGAAAGTAAACAATTTACATTGTCCCTATTGGGGATAATATAAAACCTATTTATGAATTTGTATGCTGTTATTCAACAAAAATATACCAAAATTATTGTAGGACAGTTTAGTTCACCTTGTTAATACTTCAAAAAGAATCTATATATTGTTCAGAAAAACCACATTGTAGAGGTAGTCAATAATGACAGAGAAAAATATACATGCAGTTAAGTAGCTTTATACTTTTCTAGTCTGATTCACTGAAAATGACTAGTACACCAATGTATTAAAAGATCACTAGCTACTCTGTCAAAGCTACATGGTTTTTACTGAAATTATGAGATCAAATTTCACCAGCTAAGTTACAAAAACTAGAAGCAAAGAGGAAACTATAGAAGTCAATCAGAAATATTTCTGAAAATTTATAGTAAAGACAGAAAACATGTCTTCTCATAGGTACATGTATCTCCTCCAGGAAGATTTTTCATTCCTTACCACATAACAGAATATTGCTAGTAGAGCCCCTAGTTTGGCATACACACCCTCAAATAAAGAGGCTAAGTTAAGTGTATCTAAAATATTTACCTTTACAGTTGCTAAAAACCTGTCCAAAAGACTGCTGGCCAGAGCAAATGTTTCTGGGTAAAGGTTGAATTGGTACTTGAGTTTGGCCAGCCACTGAATCACTTCATCTCTCTGGGATGGAGAAACAGTCTATAAGGGAGCAATTAAAAAAATAAAACACATATAAGAGAGAACAAGTGAAGTTTCAATTCATCGTTAAACACATATAAGAGAGAACAAGTGAAGTTTCAATTCATCATTAAGAGTGTTTAGAATTTTATAAGGTTAGCAAGTGCTTCAGAATTTTTTTTTTTTTTAGTAACAAACCTAAGACTTTTATTAATTCAAGACCCTTGTATGTAGTAAGTATCTATAAACAATGTGAAATAACCACTAACTTTTAGGCTCATTCTTATCCTTCACAGGACACTTTACATTTTACAATGAATTTTCTTACAAATTAACTCCTTCAAACTTTAAAAGTTTCTTCTGTGAAAGTATTACTCTTACTTATCAGAAAAGAACAGATAAACTTGATGAGCTAGATATGTATTTTATATATCTCTCTCCATTGCTAATATTAACAATGGAACAAGTCACATCAATATAAATTTACAAATGTACTTATATGCTAAAAAGTATTTTAAGTTTATTCGAAAATCTATCAAAGGAGATAAAGACAAAACTTTATATATTATAGTATTTAATACCAACATTCTCTTTCAACAGGTTTTTACTAAGCCTACTCCCTTAAATCAAATACAGCATTGTAAACCAATGTTACTACAATTAAAAAAATTCTTTTTAATAAAATTTTAAAATTCTTACTAAGTTAACTCACTATATATCCATCATTAGACATTTTAAAGTTGAAGAAACATTATAATAAACAGAAAATTTGGGAATTAAATTTTTCTAACTCTGGGGAGTAAGAAAACAGTAATTTCTTTTGAGGCAGCAAAACAGCGATTGAACTACCTTGTAAATGTAACTGGACTATAACAGAATGCGAACCCACTAAAAAACAAAATTAAGCTCAACAGAAATGAAAGATACCAGGACAACTGACAAAATTATTCATTTAAAGTTGATGAACACTGAAAGGGAGAACTAATTTGCCATTTGGAGAGATTACAAAAATGCAAAACATTATTGTTTTAACTTTCTGAAATATTTTTTTTTTTTAAAGATTTATTTATTTGTGCTTACAGAACTGGAGTACAAGCCAGAGACTCAGGGGTGGTGAAAGACTTCACCAGAAAGTGGGGAGCAGAACAGGCAGATCAATGAAGTACACTGCTGAGGGGAGCAGCGGGCGGGTCAGGAGAGGTCTGCCACGCCATGTGGTCACCTCCGGGGCAGGCGGGAATCGAACTCATGCTGAAGTGGCTTCAGATTCTCAGTGCTGTGCTTTAACCCGCTGCGCCACCAGGGAGGGCCACTGAAATATTTTTTAACAGTTGAGAATAAGCTTAATATTTAGAAGTATACACTTCAGAGTAATAATTTAGATACCTTTATTTTTGAGTTTGAAAGATGCACCATTTTAATCTACTACTAATAAATTAAACAGATCCTAATTAATACTAGTTGTGCTATGTGATCACAAAGAAATGATTTTTGTGATTAGTGGTAAAAAGTGTTTTCAATAAGTGAAGGCTCCAGACCAATGAAAGGTTAATACAAACTCTATTATAGCCTTTATTATCATAAGCATTACTGATGTAAATCTCTTTTAAAATGTGTTAAATCACTTATTAAAAATCATAGACACCACAGTTTAAAATTTTTTCTTGTCACTCAATTTTATGAAATTAATTCCCATATCCCTGACCAATGCATTAACAGTTATTAAAGCATGAGGGGCTCTATCTTAATGTAATTCCTCAAACTCCTCATTGGAATTTCTTTCTCTTTGACTTTCTTTAGTGTTATGAAAAATACATGACTTGGCATTAAAATATCTGCCAATGCATTTGCTAATTTTTCTTTATTTTATTACAAATCCTCTTTCTGTGACTTTTCAGCTTTGGCACAACAAAGTGTTTCTTTGTGTAGGCCAAACCAACTAATTACACATACAGTTCTTCTGACAAACATTTAATTCAGTTCATATTAATAAACAAAAAGTAACTATCATAAATCCTAGAAATACAATGAATGAAAACCTCCCTCTTTAAAACTCCAAAATGTAGTCTCAGGGTGAAGCAGAAAATCAGATGTCATTAAGCTGATAAATAGAAGTGCTAAGGAGCACACACTGGAATGGCACTTGGTCAGTGGGATAGTAGTTAAAGCTTCTTAGATGACACAGTAACTAAACTGACCTTTATCTTTAAAGCTAAAACGTGTGTGTGTGGGGGGGGGGGGTAACATTTGCCAGAAAGCAAAAAGCCATGTTTTCTAAATCTGTGAAGTTTTACTCTGAAGTATAGGAGTGATGTCATTATTAACTTATTGTTAAGTTTCTCAGACTTGCAAATAAAATCAAGGTGGGGTAGAAGAGAAATGGCTATTCTAAGAATCAGAGATAAAATTCCATTAATCAAAAAAGCAAAAAGTATAAGGCAGTTTATGGGACTGAAACTGTGGGCTTATAAGGTATATATAGGAACAGGGGAATTTATGTCCTGCAAAGACAATTATTCAATTTCACAGAGAAAACTAGGTAGGCTATAAAATCTAGGACTTGAGATCTCCCTCTCACAAAACTATGAAGCTTTTAAAAATATTCATGTACACAGTTACCACAAGCCCAGCAGACCTAGGTGGGGCTTAGAGTCTGTTGGAAGCCTCCTGGCTAAGTCAAAGACCTAGTAGCCCAGTAGTTTAAGTGTCTCTACCTGGGAACCACACAATTAAATGAACTTGAAGGTTTCTTCCAGTTTCATATAAACCAACATTATATAAGTAGTTTGAGGTAGGGCTCTCTTTCAAAAACACTAACATAATAAATTAAGATTATTTGAATAATCTTTAATTTCCCCCCAAATTAATAACAAAATTATCATGTACTTGAATTTTCTATTATTATATAATAAAGAACTTTTCTAACCTAGATGAATTACAAAGAAATAATCATGAAACTTTGCTCAACAAATACTTACTGGGAGCCTATTATAAACCACTAGTAAAGAAAAGTGACAAGACATAATCCAAAGGAACTCAGTCAGATCCTCAGGAAATAATATTGCTATCATAAATGAGAACACAAAAGGGAAGTGACAGGCAGATAATATACCAGTCTCAACACTGCCCTTAACAGGGAAGTAGGAGGTGCAAATCTGTGAGAGAATGACCTTGAGGTAGTGTTTATCAGAGGAAGAGGAAGGAAAGAGGAGGAAACTGGAGGAAAAAGAACAAAGGGAAGCCAAAAAATATTTTTAGTTTTACTAGCATGTTAAAAAGTTGGTACAGACACGTTTGATTTAGAGATAAGACTTACACTTCTGTAAGGAAAGAAAGAAAGAAATCACAATCAAAAACATAAAATTAAAAGCCAACCCCTAGAACTGGCATAGGAAAATAAAAGAACTAGGACTAAAAAACAGAAGTATGTTTAAGTGGTCCTCTGACAAGTAGCTCAAAAGTTTTAGCTCTTTCTCATCTCTATCTTACTTCCTATGCCCAGCAGACTAAGATGTTCCATAGTTTATATATATTAAGTGTTACTTCTACCTGATTACTAAGGGCAAATCCTTAGGTAAATCCCTCTTAAAGGTTCTGACAATGCTCTGCACTACTTTATTTTCTCAGTAACATTTGTTAAATCACCTAGAGAAAAAGGTAAAATCGAGATAATACAGCAATATACAACAATCCTGGCAGAATATCACTTTGAAAAACCATGTTGTGAAAATGTCTTATTGCTGGTTACATGCTGACTTGAGGAGATTGCAGAGAAGGGAGAAAGAATGGTTTTAAAGGGAGCTGTAATAAAGCTTTGAGGGTCACTAGAATGCCAGAACATAAGGGCAGAAATTTCAATTTTCCTCACAGTTATATTCCATGTGCCTAAAACAATTCTTGGAATACAGCAGATATTTAACACTTAATGTATGAGTTCCCAATTAATCTAATACACATAAATACAAATATATTCACATACAAAAGTATAACAGGAAGAATATTACCTCAGGTTCAAATTAAAATTTCTACTACTGCCAATTTCAAAGCTTAAATGTGACAGCACATGGAAATGCTCCCTTGCATAAAAAGTATTCATTCAGGTTAACTAATCTTAAATTTGTTGAATTAATAACTAACTGTACATAAATTCAAAACATGTTTCTTCAGCTTATGGGAAAGAATGTCAGTGGTTTGGAATTAGAAAAAGCATACAGATTTCAATAACCTATAAACAAAGGTTAACTTAAATCACACATGAAAAACTTAAAACATTTACTATTTACCCACATATCAAAAAATTTTTGGCTACTATTCTTTATCCCAAGCACAATGTTAAGTACCAAGGATAAAAGATGTATAAGACATCTTATACAGTAAGCTTTTGTGTGGATGAACTTGTTACTTGTTAAAAAAAAAAGTTGAATGACAGAAGAATTTGAGTAACTACATTACCTAAAAATAAAGGTTTACGAGCGTTAGTCTTGGACTACAAGGGAACAGAATATCTATCTTTCTAAAATTATAACTAACAAAGCAAGAAAACAAAACAATCCTTGTTTTATTTCAGAATCAAACAGGGAGGTGCTTTATAAATAAAAATTCTATTTTATAAATATGGCAACATTAAATAAAAATTCTATTTTATAAATATGGCAACATTACATCTACTTCTAATAAAAGTCATCTGTCTAGACTGAAGAGAAGTCATTACCTACCTGATTCGTAGGTGTTTTCGGCACATTCACCTTCCACATCTGGGCTTCCCTAGAGATTGCCTTTTCCAACAGAAAAGACAATCTCTGATTTTCTAAAAGCCCTGGAAACTTCATGATATCCTTTGGATCTGCCTGCCACCCAGCTTGATGTAGCTAACCTATAAAATCAAGTATAACATAATACCGTTTATTTAATTATAGAACACATGTAACATTGTATAACTATGTTGGTACTCATTAAGCAATTAATAGATAACTATAAAGAATTATGAGGTAGTAACTGAATTTTATAGCTCTTTAAAATATGTATTAAAATGTTACAATTAGTTATCTAAAACTTTCTCACTTTAAATTTAAGACTTATAAATAAAAACAGTCACATGATATCAATAGAATTTTTAGACTGTTCAAAACATGTTATACTGAGTCAAACCAAATGTCAAAAATTCTTAAGTCATGGACTTTTTTTAGTTCTAAGAATTCTTAGAAGCGCATGTCCCAAATACTATTGACAGTTAGAAAAAAAAATCTTGTAAGGGCTTCTAATCTTGATTAAAAAGTTACATTAGATCATGGGCCTCTTTGGTGGCACAGAGGTTAAAGACACTGCAGTATCAAGCACAGAGGTTAAAGACACTGCAGTATCAAGCTATTGCCAGCCACTGCAACACGAGTTCAATTCATTCCCAGCCAGGGAGCTGACCCACATGGCACAGCAGACTACTTCGGACCCACCCATTGCTACCTTTAGCAGTGTTTTTCAGTTCATCTGCCTGTTTTTCTCATACATTAAAAAGAAAAAAGAAACCATTCTAAACAGGTTTCCAAAAACAGTGTCCATTAAACTACACATATGGCTTTTTAAATTAGAGTTGAATAAAGTTAAAATACAATAGCCTTTTCAAATGCTCTATGGCCACATGCTGCCTGTGGATTCTGCACTGGACAATGCAATAAAGAAACATTTCTATCAATTCAGAAAAGTTCTACTGGATAGTGCTGATCTGGAAAGCTCAATGTAAGGTGACTGGCATGCCAAAGTGAGCAACAATTTATAGAACAGTCTAGTCTCAATACAAGGCAATAAAGAGTCCAAGACAGATACTGCTCAGTTTAAAAAACAAAGCAACTAAACTTTTTAGAGGTTTACTGTGAATGTATAACTGAATTGAAAAGCTACTGAAGAATGTAAGAGATTTAGCTAGATTTGATGAAAGCTAAGCAAGTAAAAATCTAAGAATCAGGAAAAAATTATGCAAGGTAAATGTAATAATTAATATACTGCAATATAGCAATAACAATGAAAATACTAACAAGAATTTCACCAAATATTGTTCCAAAACTACATTGGCAAGGTAGAATGAGCGTCACACATTTTGTACATGGTAAAAAATCTTTACATAATATCTAAACAGAAATAAATAAAAAAAATCAATAGGACAAGTTATTTGAAAATATGATCTTTAACAATAGAAACATTTAAGGATTCATGAGTGTTAACCTCTGGGCAAAAGGACAATGAGAATGTTTTTCCCATTATATATCATATATAACTTTTTGAACTATGTTACTGTATATATGTATACATACTCACGGAATTAAAAAAATCTAAATAAAAAAAGTTCCAAAATTTTAATAAAAATTTACAATTGAAAAAAACAAAACCTCATCTTTCTTCAACTTCCATGTTTCTCAACCTCCAGCTACAATCTCCTTCAAGCTCCTGTTACTTGCTAATCAAACTATGCAGACCACCTCAAGTTAACTGATTTTTTTTCTTTTTTCTTAAACTTCTGAGCATTTGCAAATTTTCTGAGCATGAAGTACTTTTCATACTAAGATGAAAAAGGTAAATAAATAGCTTGGAGAATGAAAACCCTACTCAGAGAGGCCTATATTAAAGGCTGTTTCTTTCAACCATCCTTGATTCTCAAATCAAGTATGATTTCTCTTCTGAAATCAGCTTTCCACTATCTCCCTACTAAATTGTAATTCCTTTTGCATATACCAGTATCATCTGACTACTCACTGTACCAAATAAAGCATGGACTCAATGAAAGGTCGGTGTCAAACCTAAGGCCAAAACAATACAAATCAACCAATGTCTTTTTTCACAAGGCAAACTTTCAAATGGCTTAAAACTTTCCAAAGTACGCTCAGACAAACCTCCACTGCCCTACTTCATTGTTTTGGTGCCTTTATTTGGGGAGTGAGGAGAGGGGTGGCTACTTCCTTACTCAAATTTTTAAATGTATTCTTTCTTGTTAAAAAGTCATAATTTTAAATTCCATCTACTGTTAGTCTGCTGAGATGTTCTAAGATCCAATTTTGTTGCCTTGATGTTCTTACAGATTCTCCACAATTAAATGACCAGACTCAGAAATTTTAACTAAAGCATTTAAAAAAATTTCCATACATTGCTGTTCATTATTTTATGCAGTACTTGATTTCTCCCCACAGTAATACCTACAAATATCTCACTATCACATCAACTGTGAACCATCACCCCCATGGTCCCTTGTGCTCTATCCACCCGTTTCTTTTATCCCTTCTCCTCCTCCTCACCTACTTTAAGCCTCAGATCTATAGCTGCCTACAAGTTTTGTGTATTCGGTTGTTTTTTTTTTTTTTTTTTTGGTACCCTTTGTTGAATGTCTCTACATACCTCCTTTAAATGGTACCATTCGATGTTTTTCTTTTTCCTTCTGACTCACTTCACTAAACATAATCTCTTCCAGGTCCCATCTACATTGCTGCAAATGGTACATTTTCTTTTATTGATTGCTGAGTAGTATTCTGATGCATACATATGCCACCTTTTCTTGATCCATTTTATCTATTTTTGAGCATTTAGGCTGTTTCCACACCAAAGCAATTGCAATTTGTACTGCAATAAACATAAAAGTGCAAGTTTCCCTTCAAATTAATGTTTTGTGCCCTTTGCGTAGATTTCTAGGCATGGAATTATTGGGTCATAAGGTAGAGCCAATTTTAATAATTTGAAGGTCCTTTCCACAGTGGTTGGACCAATGTGCTCACCAGAGAAAGGGTTCCTTTCTCTCCATTTCCTTGCCAGCATTTGCTCTTGCCATTTTTTTTTAATGAGTGTCATTCTTACTGGGGTAAGGTGGTATCTCACTGTGGCTTTGATTTGCATTTCCCTGATTATAAGTGATGTTGAACATTGTTTCATGTGCCTGTTGACTATCTTGATTTCATCTCCGGAGAAGTGTCTTTAGCTTTTCTAAAGTAGACATAAATATTAACCTTAGAGGTAGAACATCAACTTGATAACTCTCTCTCAAAATACTCAGAAAAAACACCTACTGGATAGAGATTGAATTTCAACATAAATGCTAACAACTTCTTCTAAACCTAATTTTGGCCTGCAAAATATATGAACTTTTGCCAAAACCTCACACTTGCTTTTTATCTCCATTAGCTAAACCAAACAGGGTGGTTCACAAGGATCCACCAACCTTCTCAACTCACAGCAATGGCTACATGTCTCAAGTCATTATTCTTCCCCTACAACGTATCCTTTGAAAATTACATACAGGATGGTATCATGCAAAGAATTATTATTTCAGGCTCAAGAAAATCCAACTCCAATGTTCTATGATTAAAATTCTTAGGAAGACTTTCAAATATTTAGATGCCCTAACAATTCTTTTTAATAAAAGAATCTGGGTCAAACAAGTAACAAGGGAAATTAGAAAATACTTTGAAATGAATGAAAAAGGAGAGTGTAATAACAAAACTTGGAAGAAGCAATTTCCCTCAGAGGGAAATGCCTACATTAAAAAAGATCTCAAATCAATAACCCATCTTTCTACCCTAAGACACTAATATTATCTTTGACACACTAGAAACACCCTGGAAAAAAATGGAACTATAGGAAGAGGGAAATGCACTGGACTATGGTGATGGCACATGGTGATTTGGTGATGGGAAACCCAAGGGGATTGCAACTGAGATGGAAAAATGCACAAAAATATGTAAAAATAAATATAATAATAATAAATAGCAGGCCACACACACACACAAAATTAAAATTCATGAAATAATCAATGAAACCAAAAATTGATTCGTTGAAAAGATCCAGAGGCAAACCTCTAACTAAACAAAAAACAGAAGAAAATACTCAATAGGCATATAAATAAAAATGGGACTGCATTTGGCTGTCCAATAACTGCACAGGTGAATTCTACCAAATATTTACAGAAAAATACAAAATTTTTACATACTTTTCCAAAATGAGGAAGACAGCTTCACAACTAAACTGATGAGGCTAGTTATAACCCTGGTACCCAAACCAAACAAAGGTAGCAAGAGAAAATTACAGACCACTGCATTATGAACTGAATCAGGAAACAATTTTTTTAAAAATATTATAGGCCCTAACCTAGTGGGGTTTATTGTAGGGCACCGCAGCCCACTCCTGTCTCTCCAGCTGCCCCCCTCAGCAGCGTATTTCAGTAAATCTGCCTGTTTTGCTCCCCATTCTGTGTCTGGTGAATCATCTTATTGCTAGAATATGTAGCCTACCCCCCAGTTCTTCTATGCACAAATCAATTTTAAAAAAAATTAATAGGTGAATTCAGGTAAAGGATTTTTAAAAATTATTGACAAGTAAAATTATGTTGAAAAGGCAAAAAATAGAATTTATGGAAGTACTTACATAATTAGGGTTTTTTAAAAATTCCTTTTTATAACTCAAAATACTAATACAGCAGAGAAAAGCACTGACTTCAGTTTTATTTCCTTTACCCACCGTACACAAGCCTGTTTTCTAATGTTATTTCTAAAATATTATTTGGATTAAATGAATGACTCCTGCTAAGAAACAGAAAACACACACTTATAAGACAGCTTTACTCTTTTACAGTTTTACTATCTTAAACAATAACTTTATAGTTTTATTTTATGCCATATTGGTCAAAACTAGAGTTTTGAAGGCTCAGAAAGAAAAACCTTTCAGAAGTAAAAAATTTTTCATACACTTTCAACTTTTATGATGGTTTCAAATTCATCTTCGCATTCTTTGAAATGGCTCCTTTCTCCACATTTACCATTAGATGGCTTAGTATTTGAGTGAATAGTGTGTAAAATACCTATTGTGTAGTACACATCACAGATCAGCACATAGGGTCTCATGCTCTTTTGAAAAAAATGTATACATACAGTAACAATTTCATTAAGGAATGACTCTTCTCACAATCTCAGCACCTCTTCTGAAATGTGGGACTTAATAATATGACCATACAAAAGCTTCAAGTTCTATTACTACTTCTTTGACTATGTCACTAGCCTAGAAAGGAACCAGAGGTTCCAAAGCAGCCTGCAGTTTCCCAATGTCCATGCCTTTCTGCTCACTTCAACTTAAAATGTCCTTAGTTCATATTCCTCTTTTATTTTAGATACATTATTTGCATCAACTGTAAATAGCACTGCCTTCCTACATATATATACTTTGGACATTATTCTACTGCTGCATTTAATTGCTCGGTGATAACTGTGCAGACCTGCCTAGTAACACAGTTGCTTGATGGTAAACACTCTCCCGAGTTCAGCACTACGCCTAAATGATAGTAACAGTTTTCCACTGTTAAGCACAGTGAGTGTGTGCAGACTACTTGGCCAGGGATTGTTCAGTTTATATGCCATAGCATATAAACTCATCTAATCAATCTCATAAAACTGGTATCATAACAAAGCCTGTTTAAAAAAGAGAAGCAAGCACAGGAAAGGGTACAGTATCCGTTGTAAAGTACTATACAATCAGAATGAAACACGAACAGAGTTTCTATTTAACCTACCAGGATGTCAGTTACATAAATTTAATTATCTGTAACGCATCTCTACTGCACCTCCCCAACACAGCTAAATCGCTACTATGCAGCTCATCAGTACTAAGTGACTTCTGGTAGAATCCCAAATCCATCTGGTCCCAGATTAGCCAACCTAAATTCTGTCCAATTTGTCTTATTTGCCCATTCCTTCCTAGTTAGTCTGCACCAACGACCTGAAAAGATGAGAAGCATGTCAACTACTGTTCATCTTTTTGTAACAAATTCATTTTTTTGGAAGAAACGATATAGCATGGACTGCTGGGGTTAGAACTTTGGCCCCTCCACTGTAGCTGAGTCATCTAGGGGGGGAAATTTGAGTAATTGAATCTCAAGAAGCCTCAGTTTTCCTCACCTGGTAAACGAGGTTCCTACCACCTGCCTACCACCTGCCTCTCGAGTCCTTGCAGGGATTCAGTTAGTTGCCAACCAATTGGAAAAAAATGTCGGATGAGAAGCCTCAGCCTTTGTACCCTAACGTTACACTCGGCGGTTCAAACACTGAGTGGCTCCCCACAGACCGAATGAAAGTTAAATACTTTAGCTTGACATTCAAGCATCTTCCGTCTCATTAGATCCGACCTCCCAAGAGAGCCCTGCCACTGTTTTGCTAGCGGTTCCCAAGGCCTGCCGGAATTACCTGCAGTGGAACCCCTAGCTCGGTAGAGGTCCTTCTGCTCGTTTCAAAAAGTCGGCGCAACTCAAGTCGCCGCCTCTCCACTTTCCCGCACCCACACAAAACCCCGGTAACGTTCCCCTCCCCCGAACTCGCGCACCACTGTCAGCTCGCCCATTCGCTGGCAGTCACTGAACTTTGCAAAGTAAAATCTCCCTCGGGCTCCAGCAAGAGCGCTGGTCTAAGGGCGGGGGTGTGTCCCCTTCTTTGTGCATGACACAGGCTCGCCCGGCCTGGAACAACACTCTACACAGCAGACAATTTGCTTTAGCTACAAAAAAAGTTACTGACACACACAAAAAAAATTGGCCCCTGAAGGGAACACAGCAGAGTTTTCCGACAGGACAGAAGCCGAGCGGCCCCAGCGCGCACAGGGCGGGGAGGAGGGGGCACGTCCCAAAGGTTTGCTCTGCCTAGGGGAGGTGGGGGGCGGGTCCCATCAGCGACAAGCGGCTACCGGAGTCTCCTCTCGGACCGCGCCGGCTAAGCGGGATTGTGGGGGGGCGGAGAGCGCGAACGTGGGGGCTGGAAGCAGGGGCGCGCGCGTGCGGGTAGCGGAGACGCGACGCGCCCACAGCCCCCGACCCCTCACCTTCTCCTCCTCTTCCTCCTCCTCTTCCTCCTCCCCGGCAGAGCTGTAGGCCTCACAGTGGTGACGCGGGGTCATCCGGGGGGCCCGTTACCACTTCATTTTCCTCAGCGCGCGGCGGCGGGGCGCGCGGGACGAGGGCCGGGCCGATTGAGGAGGGAGAAGAGGGGGAACCGGGCCAGGGGGCGCGGGAGCTGGAGCTCGAGTGGGACGCACGGCTGCGGCCGCTGGGCGGGTCAGCGAATTAGTTCCATGACGCCCCCGGACCTAAGGCCGCCACCGCCGGTCCCGCTCCTCCAGCCGCCGCCGCGAGTGCCCGGGTGAGGAGGGGTCTCCCTCTCGCCATAGGGCGGCGGGGGCCGGGGAGAGGCGGGGGGGGAGACCGGCTCTGCCCCTGCCCGGGGGAAGTGCCTCCAAGGGGAAATGGTGAAAGGGGGGGAAGGGGGAAAAAGGAAAAAAAAAAGGGGGAAAGGGGGGAAAATAAGAAAAAGCGAGACAGAGGCGCTGCCGCGTCCGCTCGCGGGGAAGGCAGGGGAGGGAGGGGAGGAGAGAGGGAAGTGCCGGCTCCTCGGCTCCGCCCTCGCGGACCGATTCCTGGATTCGCTCACTGCTTGTAAACAACATCGAAATGGTTTCTCACCCTCCCCCTTCTCCCCTTGAGCCCTGTTCCCAGTCCAACGAATGCACAGAGTGCGGCAAAAGCTGGGGTCGTGGGAGACGGATGGAGGAGTGCTTTGTCACTGAGGTAAAATAAGGGCAGTAAGGCATTTTCTGTGGGTTCAGAAAAGCCAAAGGTGCGTGGACTCATTTCTGGGGAGGCGCGGAAGGGTTCTGCTCTGGACGCCGGTGACGTGACGTCCCTTCAGCTAGCTGGCGGAGGCGTGCACTGCCCCGAGGTGAGCTGCGCGTGCGCGCCGGGGAAGAAAGAAGCTGCGCTCTCCGCGCGGGGGTGGGCTCCTGTTGTGATGCTCCTCTTTCGAACCTGGAACGCTACCTGCATGTAGCCCACCTACCTCGCCTCTAGGGATTGCAGAAGAATTTATTGGAAAGGGGATGGTGATCTGTTGTGTAAAGATCTTGGCTTCTTTATTGATCTCCAAAACGGTTTTTACCAAAGACGTGTAAATGAAATTCCTTTTATGTCCCCTCCCCACGCTGCCACGTTGTGGGTGGAAAATTCTAAAGCGCTTCTGAAATCGGGAAATTTGGAGTATCATGTCTTTCATCACCTTTGGGGGGAGGTTGCTTTGAGGCCTCTTTTAAAACGCTAAATTATACTGCTGTCAGCCCACAATCGGCATGATGATGCGCGAAGTACGTTCTAGGCACTTAACCACTATATCTGAGTATTTCAGAGTAGGTTTTATTACCAGATCTTTACTAAGTATGTGCTGACATATAAATGAGTTGCATTGGGGCTTCTTTCTTCTATTGTATTTTTTTTTATGTTTTACTTGCTTTCATTATAAGAAGAATGTGTAGATTTACAGAAAGTGTTGAAGGAGGCATAAATTCATTCACTCGCCGAAATAGTGTGTTTTTACTTTTTTGTCTCTTATATGCTTATTTTAACAGCCCTTAAAAAAAATTGCGTGGAGCTTAGTTAGCCGGCAAGACAGTGCTAACTCTGGTGAATTGGAATTAGCTGAGACAAAAATAGCCCCCGGCTTCATGGAATTTTACAGTCCAGACGCACAGGGTAACCACTGAGCTAGTTATCATTATCTAAAATCACCTTATACATTGATTTGTCTGCTTGTACATTGCACTTCCTCCCTAAAATACAAATTTAGGGTGGCAGGCATCTTGCATGTTCTGTTTCACCCTGTGTCTGTGCATATAATTTGATATTTGATTAATGGCTGAATAAATAATTATCAGTATCAAAAGCATTAAGATGGAAAATTGCAGGCTACCGTGGAAACACATAACCCTAGCCCACTTAGAGATACCAAAGAAGGGTTACTCTGAGAAAGTGACATTTAAGAAGAAACATGAAACCAGAGGTCAAAAAAATGGGGAGTGATGTAGGCAGAGGACACAACATGTACAAAGACTTTGAAGCTGAGACAGACTCCCATCTCTGATAGGTAGCTTGGTGGGCCCAGACAGAACTGAAAGGTGGACTGGAAGCGAAGGTAAGAGGAAGATGCATAGAGTAGGGAATGGGAAGCCCCAGAAAGATTATAAGTAGATTGCATCCTGCCCATTTTCTCTCCATGTACCCTTTTTCTGCACTGCTATGTGGTCATCATTTTACATAGCTAATTTTTTTTGCATAATACTTCACAGAGTGCAGTGTGTCTGCATGGTACTCAATATTAGCATATAGCATGATCCCTTTGGTGGACTATGAAGTTGTTTCTGATTTTCGTTTCTGTAAGAACAGTACAATTCCTCTTCTTGGGAAATAGCAAGGAAGTCAAAACATTATGCAACTTGGGCCTCCCAGGTTGCCTAGGTCTTAAGTCCAAGTGCCACCACTAAGGACTGAGTTTGATCCCTGGCCAGGGAGCTAACTCACAAAGGGCACAGCAGACCTCAACTGCGGCTCCCCTCAGGAGTATATTTCAGTCTGTCCGCTGCTTCTCCCTATTCTCTGATGAATCCTCTCTCCTTCCACCTGTAGCCTACACTCCAGTTCTTCTACACAAAATAAAAGAATAAAAAGACATTCTATTTTAAATTTTCAGAAAAAAACATAATGCAACTTGTCTACTTAAAACTTTACACAAATGTTTATAATAGCAGTATTTGTAATAACCAAGAGGTAAAACAATATATGTCTAACTACTGATTAATGCATAAATCGGATATGGTGTGGCTACATGATGGAATGTTATTTGGCATTTAAAAACTCTACTGATATGTGTTATAATATCTGGTCTTTTTGAGACTTCATTCCCTTAGTAAAATGATAAATGTCCAGATTGGGCAAATCTGTAGAGACAGAAAGGAAGTTAATGGTAGTTTAGGACTATGGACAGAGATGGATTATTTGGGGTTTCCTTTAATCTTAGAACAAATATTAAAAAAAAATTAGTGAACAGTTTGTTTTGTGATTCTAAACAGTTGATTTTTGCTTGAAAAGTTATTAATATTTTCTTAGGCTTTGTTTTATTTCTTAACTGGAACATTGAATCTTGAACAACATGAGTTGTTTCAAATGCAGATAGCTAGTGGGTGTAGAGGTTTTTTTTGAGGTGATGATTGCACAGCTCTATACACTGAATTGTATATTTTTAATGTATAAATTACATAAAATACAAATTTTGTATTTGTAGAGCTTTATCAAAAAATAAAGGAAAAAAGAATACAATTAACATTTTTATTTATAACTCTTTTCTGATTATTCCTGGGTCCATTGGTATTTCTATTTTATTGGCTTTTGATGACTACCAATTTGCCAAATTGCTTGACAGAAGAGTTAAACCAGTTAAAATGTAACTGGAAATATTTAAGAACTCCCTTTTTGTTATATACTTATCTTTTTGGAACTTGGTTGTATAAACAATGTCTTACTGTTTGTGAGATTGCCAGTGAGAATTTTACCTACAAACTAAATGTAACTGCAAATAATTAATAGATGGATGACATTGTTACAGTTGTCCTTACCCCAAATAATGGATATTCTTTTTCTTCACTATTCACTCAAGACCTGCTTTGCAGTATCCTCTATTTTAATTTAGCTGCAATATTGTTTTTACAGTGACTTACTTATACTTGTAAAAAATGGAAACCTTTGAAATTCCCTGAGAAAGAAAATATAAATATCCATGTATTGAAAGGTATTAATAATTTTCTCATTTAAAAATGTTTTTAGGAATGTTTCCTTTTTGTCCTAAATAGTAAAAATAGACTACATGGTACTTGACAATAATAATAATATACATATATAAATAACTTGTATGTTTCAGGCATTGCACTAAGCACTTTCATTGCATCCTTTTATTTTTATCCTCACAACACTCTTTTTCATTGTCCCCGTTTTACAGAAGATAAAGAAATAAAGTAAATCCCCCGGATTTACACAGCTTGGAGAGTCACAGCCAGGATTCCAAGCCAGCTTATCTGACCCAGCGCCCCTGTGCTTCCATCACTTCCTTTCTCTTCCTTTCACTTCCTCAGCCTGTCTGTGTTTCTGGCTTGCATTAAGTCTTCAGAAATACTCACCCTTGGATTATTTTGGGCTTCCTTTAATCTTAGAACAAATATTTTTTTAAAAAAAAATTAGTGAACAGCTTGTTTTTGTGATGCTAGACAGTTGATTTTTGCTTGAAAATTTATTAGTATTTTCTTAGGCTTTGTTTTATTTCTTAACTGGAACATTGAATCTTGAACAGCATGCGTTGTTTCAAATGCAAAGCTGTGGAATAAGGAAGCACCTGAGAAACTGTGTTCTTATAATAAAAAAATTAGTCCTGAAATGCAAAATAAAATAAATTGAGACCCCTTCAGCATCAAGGACCACTGAAGGGAATCCACTTAGTGAGCACAAAGTGGTTTGCTATTCTTATCTTTCAAGAAGGATAATGAGAAAAGCATATATTTGTATGAGTATAGAAGAGAAAGCTGTTTAATCTTTAATGATAGATATTTATGGACACCTTTGTCTTTAATTAAATTTTTAGGATAATGTCCTTAGCAGAAAATTTACGAGGATACTATCTTGTGGGAGAAATACTGAGGCCTACAGCAACAGGTGAAGTGATTTATTGTCATTTATCATTCCAAAATATTTGTTTTCATTTATCTCTAGAGAATGTAACAGGAGTAAACCTTCCAAATAAACATCCAAAGACAAGGAGTCCTTGTTCACATAAGCATAAAGAATACCTCCTAATTATTAGTGGGAAGAAAGTATTGAGAAAAAATGTCCAAAATTCTAAAATTGGAAATCTACAAACTGCTCTCAAGACTTTGACCAACTCTGAATGAAAACTAGCTTTAATTTAAATACTATTTATGTATTTGTTTAGAAAGAACTCATGAAGAAGGAACATTGGTTGCATACTTTTGCTAGGAGAAGCCCCAGAAATCATACAGTAACCACTTAGTTGAAACTTACAAATCAAAAAGACTTCAGTAGGGCCTTCCTGGCTGTGCAGGGGTTAAAATCCCAGTACTATCAAGTTATTGCCAGCATCCCCAGCCAGGGAGGTGACCCATATGGTGCAGCAGACCTCTCCTGACTCACCCACTGCTCCCCTTAGCAGTGTATTTCAGTAAATCCACTTGTTCTGCTCCCTACTTTGTCTGGTGAATCTTCTCACTCCTGAGTTCTGGCCCACACCCCAGTTCTTGTATGCCTAAATCAATGAAATGTCTTTTTTAAAAAAAGGCTTCAATAGAAATAGTGTTTTGTTATTGTTGGAAGAGAAATGCACATTAAATAACCCTACTTTACTATTTCACAAACTGTTTTGAATCCTGAATCACCAAATTTAGGAAGTCTTTTAAAATATATAATCAAATACCAGCACATTTATTTCTTGCTTTTCGGGGAGGTGTGGAGAGAAAGGAAAACATCTTTCAAAGTTTATTT